GACTTCTGGGACCGATCAAAAGTACGCAGTGCAATACAATTCTAGGTCAATTTCGAAAAAATTATCAAAAAACAAAAATCAAATCCAAAGATGAACTAGTCAATCTTTGATTCCCTATAGGCGACCTTGTCGCAAAAAATTGCCAAAAAACAAAAAAAAATTGACGTTTTTGATAAACTGGATGCTCATTATAGATTAACCTCCTGAAAAATTTTAGTTTTACGACTCACTGTCGTTACCTGAACTAGCAGCAGCCGAAACGGTTTTTCAGCATTTTGGAAACGTTTTACTTTGCCATCCAGATAAAGGAGGAAGCGAAGAAGACTTAGTCATGCTGGTTGAAAGAGAAAACATACTTGGAGACAAAGAAGCGAGAAAAACATAAGATAAAAGAGACTTGGAGGCTGCCCAGGACTTTTTGAGCAGCCAAACTGACATTTGGAACTCGTATTAATTGTATAAATATTTATCAAACATAACTGGAGTGCTAACCACGGATGATGGACATTTTTTATATTTACTGATAAACCCTGCTATAAACTATAATCCAGCTCAGTTTTTTCAGAATGGGAATAGTGTTAGGAATCGGAAGAGTTTTTAGGGAAATTCAAGTTAAAACCTGAACTTATTTGCGAATTCATGATGACTGAAAACTAACATCATTAAATAACGACTATGAAACTAAGACAAAGCGTAGAAATTCCTTGTGTACAATTGTCAAGATTTTTGACAAGCATATATAAACGAAGCTGAGAAAATCTTTAATCTTGCTCAGCGTATAATAGCAATATTGAAGATGAAGAAAAAAAACTTAAAGCCCGAGACGATCAGAAAAACTTAATGTCCAGTTGGCAATTACTCAATGATAACAGAATCGAATCTTAAACTTTCTTTATAATCAAAGCTGACAACTGTAACTTACTGTGACTACCTCAAAATGAAGCTTCAATTTGTTTACTTTGTCCTACCGCGTCCTACTACAAAAGCATTTACATTTTTCCATATAAGCTCTGTAAGGACTTGAGCAAGGAGTACCCAGGAACCTAGACAGGCATTTCTATTAAGCAGAGAATTACACTCACAATACATGTTGCGAACGTGTACCCGGTACTTTTAATGATAAAACAACTATCGAAAATTTTTTTTATTTAGAGAGCCAAGGGAATATAAGCACAGCTTAATATAAGTATCTGATATAAGCGAGAGATCAGTTTGTAACCCTGGAACGACAGCAACCGTGACAGAAGATCACGGAACTGCAAATACGAAACTTTGATTGATGATGGATATAAATTCCAACTTAAAGTTGTTGAAGTTCAGGATGCCGCCGGCCCTAGGACTGAGTTTTTTCTTCGTAAATTGTTAAAACTAGAGCATAACAACGAATACGAGCAACAATTTAGCCCAATTGTTGAGATAATCTTATTAAATAGATGTCCCTTTTCTTTGACCAAACAGTGTAATTTTAGATGATTTGAGCTAGAGGCACGAAAATTTGATTTCAATCAGTAGTCAAAAAATGTCCACGATACGAATAAAGTCCACAATATAAGTCCCGGCCGCCTTTAGCTTTGGGCGGATGAAGATTACCTCTGGTGATGTATATCATTCGAGCTTCATCATTACCCCGAGCTATAAGAGTTGCCACTCATTTCTTTCGAAGCGGGTTAAAAGGAAGATCGTTTACTGACCCCGGCCTCGGCTTCAATCCCAATAACAAAAATCGACTGAAAATATTACAACTACTTCTAACCCGAGGAAGCCTGCCAAAAGAGTGGGAGCTTGTCATCTGGCACGACGTGATAAACAACAGTATCCACCCCCATCGGAGCAGCAATTACAGAGCCTGCTCAATCAGAGGTCTGCTTAGAATCCTTAAGCCATTCAATTTGCGAATACGAGCAATTTGGTTTGTACGTAGAAGAGGAACCCCAGGGTCTTCGAAAGTTTAATAGAAATGATTACGAAAACTCTAATGTTAATCAACGTGCGAAAACACGTATGACAACGTAAGAGTAAAGTTAGTCTAGTCCTCAACGAGATACAGAGAATACACCCCTCATCTGCCTTTCTTGCGGACTGTTCTACGAAACAAAAACAAACTTCACAGACTCGTTTTGAAGGAACGCTCAAAAACGAGGACTCGTAAAAAGAGATGAAATCAAAAAAAGGAAGTCAAGAGGGAGACGAAAATTAGAAGTTAAAGAGGAAATCAAAAAACCAGAAAATTAGAAAGTTCGTTTCAGTTCAATTTAAAAAAAATTGTTTTCTTTAACTTGCTTTTGTAGCTCCTGAGGTTTAATTATCTTGGAGCGGCGAAGTAAGTTTGTAGGAGTGGAGTACATGGTTGTTTCTTCAAAAAGACTTGCTTTTGTAAAATCCCAGGTTTGGTTATCTCGAAGGTACGAAGCGAGTTTCTTCGAGGAGGCGTGAAAATTAGTAACAGCGCATCTATTTAGTTTTTGAAGCTTCTGATGTTTAATAACCTCGGAGCAGCGAAGTTAGTTTTATAATGCCCACTAAACCCTGTCGCCGTAAAGGCACGGCATCAGTGAGCGACTCCGTTGAACCTTGGGAATGTAAACAGTGCAAGGTTATCTACGGAAACCCAAGCGATAAAGTGTGCGAAATGCCTCAGGATGCCTGGTGCGGCTTACCAGTACATGTGCCAACCAGCTGTATTTTGTTGCTGCACCGATTGCAGTAAAGTTGTCAAAGAATTGATTAACGAAGATCAAGAGTCTGAAAACATTACTTCAATAAATTAAGAGAAGATCTCGACAAAATGATGATACTTTCCAATGATGATGGACATGCATAAGTTCATTGCCAGACCACGTCAAAGAAAATTTGACAAAAATACAGTAGCTTTGAAGGAAGTAACAAATCGGAAAGTCAAGTCTATAAAAGAAGTCTTAATCGAAGCAACAGAGGAGCAACAGAGAGAAGAAGCCGAACAGAAATAGAGAAAGAAAAATATTATCATTTACAAAGCAAAAAAAGTATGGCAATTGATGTCGTAGCGAAAAAGAACGAAGAGGATCAGTTAGTTAGGAACTTTCCATGAAGCATTGATATGACAGAAAAACAAATTGTAAAAACTGTTCGATTAGTTAGAAAAACTGACGAAACTACCAACAGGCAACTCCTGGTTTCCTTCAACAAGGAATAAGAGGTTGTCGAACTAAATCGAAACCTACCAAAATGAAACATGTAACAACTGAAATCAGAAGTCTCAGAATCAGTCCTGACAGAAGTCTTAAAGAAAAGGAAGAAGTACGAAAGATGGTTAACGAAGCAAAAAAGTTAAACGATCAGGAAAAGGAACATCATGCATCTGGTCCGAGGTTTGCAGAAAATAAAAGTCATAAGAAAAACGGAAAATCAGGAACGTTGAAAGCTGGTACACGAACGCTGAGAACTTAATACAAGCGAACCATCAGAAATTGATAAAATTGATCGAAGAAAAAGACAACCCACCAGATTTAATCGAGCTGGTAGAAGCGAAGCCAAATTTTTGAACATCAACTGGAACCCTGTTTGGCACAAAATTAAAAATTACAATATTGAGTCAGTAAATATGAGCCCAAATGATAACGGACGCGGAATTTGGATCTAAATAAAAAAAAAGACTACTCAATCGGACAACAAACGACAGAATACCAAGAAGTTTTCATAAGCGACATTTCCATTGACAGAAAAATGATCTGTCTGGCCATATTGTATTGGAGCCCAAACTTGAGTAACATTTTGTTGAATCGACTAATCTTGGACATCTGCGAAAAAGATGCCAAGAACATCACTGTAATAATGGGATATACAAATCTACCAGTAATAAACTGGGAAGAAATGAGTACAACTAAGAACGGCGACAGCAAAGAGTTTAGATTCTTGAAAACCGCACGAGATGCTTTCCTAATTCATCCTATTATCGAATCAACTCGCCTCATTGCTGGAGACAACCATTCACTTCTTGACATCATTATAACTGATGTCGGGCTCAGTGATTTCAAATCAATGTTCAAACCACCTTTGGGTCACAGTCATTATGTTATCATTGAAGCAGAACTACCCATAAGCCGGGTCAATATCAAAAGCCAAACCTGGTGTAATTTCGCCGAAGGTGATTATGATTATAAAGGAAGGCGAAAAGAGTTGTTAAACATCGAGATCGAATATGCAAATGACGTGAATAAGGTATGGAAAACCTGCAACAACGTCAAACAAATGTTACAGAGAAGTATGTACCACTATTGAATTGGATGTAGTCGAAAAGAATTGGATGTAATCTACTTGGATTTCAAAAAAGCGTTCGACTCGACCCCACATAGAAGGTTAAGAGGAATTTTACATCGATCGGGAAAAAATTAAATTAAATCAGCGATTTTGTTTCAAACAAACGACTAAGAGGGTTAATAAACGACACAAAGTCAGAATGGAAAACGGTGATAAGTGGTATCCCACAGGGACCCGACCTTGGACTGATCTTGTTTTTCATATACATAAACTCTATGACAACCTCAGCCAAGTCGAAGATGTATTTATTTAAAATGATGCCAAACTACTTAAAGAGATAAATAACGACATGGACAACAAAACACTGCAAAAAGATCTTAAGAACCGCGAAGAGTGGTCAGACAACAGCAGGGATTTCAATACAATATCAATATATTGAGCTCAATATCAATATCTTCCATTCAATATCAATATCAATATCAAATAGGATGAAATTTCAATATCAATATCAATATCAATATCTAAAAGCTCAATATCTCAATATTATCACTATTTTAAGATACCAGAGATCAAATTCAATATTGAATTTCGAAATATATAATTAAATTTGTTTAGTTTTTTTTGCAATGTAATTTTTTTTGTTTAATTTGTTTAATTTTAATGCTTGAGTGAGTTGAGTTGACTGTTTGACTGTTTGACTTAGTCAGTCCATTGAGTTATCTTGAATTTCTTTTGGTTTTTTTTTTTACAGAAATGCCTGATGATGTTGTTGAATTTAGTGTGAACAAGAAGAGCGATTTGCCTATTAATAAACTATTCCTGATTAAGTTTGTGAACGGAAAAAAGACAGAATGGCGAAAGTGTCAAAAATGCGGTGATCTTCGCAAAGCACCTAATTCTGGGACAAGCGGCTTACGTCTGCATCTAACAAAATGTCCCGGTTATGATGCCTCTAAGGACAGCCGCGATGTCAACCAGGATGTTATTCCTTTTGCGAACAAATAACAGCGTGGCGAGCGCTGTAGTGAATGGAACTGGGGCATTCGCCGATATTATCAAGGAGCAAGTCCTGCAACAGCGATCGGTAGAAGCAGGAACTCACGATGCCGATCATTCGTATGTGAACCAAAGCATTTCCTTTGAAGACTTTGAAAATGAGGAATACGAGGCCGATTTCAACATTCAGCAGTTCATGAAAAATTTTAGACCCGCAAGTGCTGACGCGGAGCGGCTGTTTTCATTTTGCCGTCTTTCCAAGACATATTTACAAAACAGGCTTAGCGTGGAACGGCATTGTCGCAATGTGTTTTTAAATAAGAATAAGGCCTTCTTTGATTTATAATCAGTGTTCATGTAATACCTCTTTGAAAGAGGCTCTTTCACATTTCAGAAACTTTTTATCACCATTTGTTTTATGTGTATGTGTTAAAACGTCCAGTTTCAAGTAATGATACAAAATCCGTTTTTCTCAATATCAATATCAATATCTAGCCTTCAATATCTCAAAATTAAAAATTCAATATTGACATCGTCTCAATATTCAATATCTGATCATTCAATATATTGCAATCCCTGGACAACAGTCTGCTAAAATTCAACGAGGACAAGTGTGTCCAGTCCAAATGACTATCTCGCATGCTATTTCTGATCATACTGCAAGAAGTTATTGGCAAAATGGGAAGCAATTCGAGAAGGTGAAGGGAGAGAAGGATCTGGGAGTTACAATTGATAGTAAGTTTTCATTTGAGTCGCACATTTTCAAAAAATTAAAAAGGTCAGCTCAATTATTGCCATTTTCAAGAAGACTTTTAAAAGAAACACAAGCCTGGTTTCTGAAAATATGCAAGGGTCTCATTCAACCTCATCTTGAGTATTGTAACCAAGTATGCCATCCGCGATTGAAGAAATATGTAACATTGACAGAAAATGTTCAACGACGAGCAGCATGAAAGGTTATTGGATTACAGGATTTTAGATATAACAAGCGATTACGAAAACTAGATCTACTGTCTCTTGAGTACCGTAGAAGACGAGGAACAATAATTGAAATGTTCAAGATTGGGTACTACCTCTATGATCCGAAAGCGGCAAAAGAATTGTTTGACCTAAACAAACGAGACACCAGTATAAACGTCAGCAAAGTTTTATTGAAGAAGGTCAGTCTAGAAGTACGGAAACATTACTTTACATTTCGAGCAGCGAGAGACTGAAACGCACTGCCAAGTGAAGACATGAACTCTAAAACAACGAATGATTTCAAAATTAAACTGGAAAATTCGAAACGAAGAATTTAAAAGAAATACAGCAAGTGCTGATGGAAAGAGACAAAAAATCGGCTCTATTATCAGAATGAACAACTGATACGAGCCGAGAAAATCAGAGCAGGCAGTTTTCCTAGTCAGAGAGTCTCCATGTCGTTGTTAGTGAGGGACATCCGATGATATTGTTATACTTTGTTTTTCCCCAAAGTTATAAAGTTCCAATGATTTTTGACTGGGTGAAATGCTGAGTGACCAGTGAATTAACTTCGGTTACCATGATAGCTTCTGACCTTTGATTTTAATGTAACTGTTCAAAAATATTTACCCTTGCAATGAGCAGTATTAATGCAACCGCTTAAGTCTTTTTTTTTCTAGCAAATAACTGTGTTCACAATGGTCAATTGGTAAATTTTGTAACCGTTGATTTAATAGCATGTTTGGAGTTTATTAACTGCATTTGTACCGTGTGAGAATGTTAACAGCTGTAAACCAATTTGTATCCGTGCTGAAAGTTTTCGGTAGGTTTTTGGCACCGAAGGTGATCTTAGTCGTAAGCAGTATAAACTGAAGACAGAAACACCTCCGGACTGAACAAGCATTTTAATTGTTGCACGAGTAATAAATACTGAATTGAGCAGCAGGCCAGGGTCAGGTTGATGATCATTTTTTAAATTATTATTAATGTAGATTTAGCGGCGGACCGCAAGGGGTTTCCCTCAACAGAAGGATGTTTTCAGTTCGCTTACAGTCAACAGTTAGTACAGTCACAGAACTTTGCTTATCTTTGCCTAAGCCTTGAAGCAAGATTCTTCGAAGTTGCAAGTAGTAGCATCTTTTGTTACGGAAGACTACTTTTCCCTCAACACCGTAGTTAAATCCAAAAACTTGCATGAAGTTGACCATAATTTTATTAAATCAGAGAGTTTCTTGCAAGCTATTGAAGCGATTTGGAAGAATTGTAAAAAAAAGTTAAGTCATTGCCGAGGATCAGTGATTCCCTTGAGCAAGCGCAGGTATCTCGAGGCAAGACAGCATTGAAATCGTCTGTGAGAATGATACCGGGTGGAACTCGCTGTACGAAATGTTGGTCCTAAGGACTTAACATTATTGTTCTTCGTGGTGATTCTTGTCATTTTGATTTTGAGGTTGTTCATCAGATAATCTATTATATTTTTAAATGCGGGCTTCACTATCTCGCCATGCTTAAGCCTTTCCAGTTTGAAATCTATTATATATTTAAATGCGGGCTTCACTATCTCGCCATGCTTAAGCCTTTCCAGTTTGAAATCTATTATATATTTAAATGCGGGCTTCACTATCTCGCCATGCTTAAGCCTTTCCAGTTTGAAATCAGTGTTTATTTCCTGAAGTTTGAATTTAGCAACCCTATAGTGGGATGTTGCCATGTTTTTCCCAGCTTTTTCAATTGTGGCCTCCATATATTAATAATCAATTCCTTTTAGTTTACGAGATACGACAATTTTCGAGATTTTTCCAAGGTTTCTAGAAATCTTGCCTCCAAATCTCACACTTTTCGAGATATTACGCTTTTTGAGATTTTTTCAAAATTTTTCGGCGAACTTAGATATAAAAAGTTTCACAAAATTTGAAGTTTCAATCTCTGTATTGAGGCTTTGTCAGGGTACTCTCAGGAGTTGCGAATTTTTCCTCCGAATATGACTGCTCAAAACCTTGTAGTTTTCAAGATATGACGTTTTTTATTATTTAAAAAAAACTTTTCTGATTCTTAAAAATTTTCCGAAAACTTAAATTAAAACTCCTTCATAATTTGAAATTGCTAACCTGTATTTGGGGGCTGTCAGAGTAATCTCAGGGGTTGCGAATTTGGCCTCCAATTATGAATGCCCAAATATTTTTAATTTACGTGATACGACAACGACGATTAATTTCAAGCACACTCAATTTACTAAATATATCGCAAAATTGAAATTCCTAGGCCTGTAGTTGTGTGCTTTTAGAGTACTGTCAAGGATTGCAAGTATTGCCATCAAATAAGACTGCTCAAATCTTGGTAGTTTTTGAGATAAGACGTTTTATCTGAATTCTTGAAAATATATATATTTTTTAAAATTCAAGTTTCCCAACTTTGTAGTTAGGTACTGTAAGAGTACTATCAGGAGGTGCAAATCTTGCATTCGAAATTGGTTACAATTTGTCTAGTGAAACGCTTTTTTCAAATTTTTTGCCAATATTCATTTTTTTAAGGAAATGTGTCTTCATAGTTTTTTTAGTTCCAAATGGATAAGGCAAACGATTACGATGTTTCTGAAGCGGAAGTAATTGGAAGAGGGGCTTATGGTACGGTCTATCTATGCAAACGGAAATCAGACGGAAGACAAATTATCTTTAAGGTAATAATTGCTCTCAAAAAGCTTCAGAAGCTTCGCCTCTGTGTTGGTAGTTTAGGTGGCATTGAAGTTCTGGGTGGTTATTATAAGAATCTTTTTTCAAATATCGTTTTTGAAAATCGTCTGGTGAATTTTTGAACATATTTTGGATCTTTGACTCATTTGCAAAGAACCTTTGACCATTGCTTTGTTTACGATTTCTGGGCCAATTTGAATCAGTGTTTGAATTTAGAAGCGTATGAGATGCCGATTATAATACGCAGTGTAATCGAATATAGTTTTCAATATGTTCAAAAAGCTCTCCATTGCAAGTAGTCATGACCAAATAAGGAGTGCAAGTTGCCATTGATCTAGGTCTGGTCGACTCAAATAGAAATTGATAGACGACGCTTGTCTAAAAATGAACAGCTATATTCGGCGCTCTTTCTTATTTTGGTTTTTCTATCAAATGTTATTTTACCTGAGTGAGACGTGGCTAAAATTACCATCAGCCAGGTTGCTTTAAATATATTTGATGCGTTTAAATTACGTCATTTAAGTTTGAGAGTAACTATGTGAATATTTGAAACAGTTCAAATCTAATGAAAGGCATAGATATTTTACTTTTGCTCCGAGTTATTGCGAAGCGAAATAACAGAGTTAAAATGATCAATTTCTCATCGTGCAATCCGGAATCAACTATAACTTCGTGGGCCAGAGTTAATAGAAAAGTTGGCTTGGAAAACAAATCAAGACAAGATCTTCTGCTGCCTGAATTAGAAGAGCGGGACAAGATTCGCTTCGTTTGTCTCTCAGATACTCACAACAAACACACTGATGTGGTTTTGCCTGAAGGCGATGTACTAATACACACTGGCGATTTCTGTATGCGAGGCGTGATAGATGAGGCCGAGGAGTTCAACCGGTGGTTAGGCACTTTACCCTTCGAGCACAAAGTCGTGATTGCTGGTAACCACGATATGTGTCTGGACACACGAATGAAAAGAGGTCGCAAAATTGTAGACGGACATGAGCTGTTTACGAACTGCTATTATTTACAAGAAGAGAGCGTTGAAATTGAGGGTTACAAGATTTTTGGGTCGCCTTGGGTTCCCACGTTTGGTTTCTGGGGCTTCATGGAAAACAGAAGTGAGATCAAACAATACTGGGACAAGATTCCCTCGGATACAGATATTCTATTGACTCATGGGCCGCCAATGGGAGTACTTGACAAATGCGAATCAGGAGCTCTAGCGGGTTGTATGCACTTATTAGACGCAGTGGTAAATAGAGTGAAGCCGAAATATCACGTGTTTGGACATATTCACGAAGACCGAGGAATCGCGCACGCCGCGTTTAGTGAAACGACATTCATCAATGCAGCTAATTGTACAATTTTCTACCAAGCAGAGAACGAACCAATAGTATTCGAGCTACCGAGAAAACATTAAATTCCCATTGTAGCAAACAAAACGAATCCAAATTAAGTTTTTTTAATGCCTCCAAAACTAATTTGAGTAATAAATTAGGTAGTAAATTAATCATCATCGTTTTTTAAGTGCGTCCTATGATACATCTGAGCTACTAGACTTATTTACACAAGGGAGCTGTTGAATTTTGTGTTTTATTATGAGTCGACTTTCCAATCCAATTCGCATAAATTAGTGCTCTTTTTGGTGGCTCTTTTGCTGCACACTCTTTTGCTGCGCAGTTAATTAGCATGTGCTCTCCGCTTCACTGAACGAGAAAAAAACGTGAAAAAAATTAAAGAAAATCACAGTTGACAAGCTTAGGAATTATTGAACGACTTTAAATTCTAGTTTAAAAAAACGCGTCCATAAACCTAGAAACAAAGTCCGACCGGAATTCGAACCCTGAACATAAAGATCCGAAGTCTCGCTTTTTACTACTAGACCTAGTGTAATTTACTACTTAAATTGAAGTTTGTTTAGCTGAAAAAAAGACTACTTCCCAATCACAAGTACGATGGCTCTTGTAGGTGCAAAAATGTTGTTAAAAAACGTTAAAAAGTGAGAATTGTCCTTCTGCGATCAATCAAACTTGATATTTCTGATATAATTTTAAAAACAAAAAAAAACTTGCCCGCAACTCGATACCATTGCAAAAACTATATTATAGCAATTTATGCACATAATATTCATACATATGTAGCATGCGCAATGCAAATCTTAACTCTTTTTCATTTTCGTCGTTTCATATGAGCATTTCGTCTTTGCTCCTCCGATTTAAAACCATAGCCAAAAAACTGGAAAGATGTACAAGGAAACCGAAAAAATAACTAATTGAAAATGATCGAACATTTTTTTAACCTTCGAAAGAAAAGATATCACGCTGAAACTCTTCGAATTTCAAATGTTTATGATTAACAGTATTTTTGCTTAAATAAGCCATTTTACGAAAACTGGATAAATAGGTATTTTTTATTCCCCTGGGAATTCAGAACACTTAAGTCCATTTTATTGAAACTAGAAGTCATTCACGTTTTTCGTGATTTTTACACTTTTGCTGTTCGTAAGTCGAGTTTGCCTTCCTTTAAACAACGGAAATAAATTGAACTGAAAACTATAGGCAAAATCAAATTTACGTGTGAACAAAATTGAGGGATTTTTCTGGGAAAAAAATCAGCCAGACCTACATAAGTGAAAATTCATTCAATTAAGCACCGAGAACGTCTTCAACACTCGGAGTTCACATACTTTACACAGAGGCAAAGCGGAGCATATTTTGCAAAAATAGCATTTTCAGCTAGCAGACAGGAAAGAAAAGGAGAGCCACTAAATCTTACGAAAAAAGAAAAGTTTTCGAAACCACTATTTAAAATTTTGCCTGAAAATGATGTTTTATTTGCGGAAAACACGTCGAAACACTTTCGACTGCGTTTAATGAAAATTCAAAAGCAAAATTAAAGAAGTTGTCATGAAATCAGATGCAATCCAGATGCAACTATACGTAATACAGTTCCCTCGATCGGCTTTAATTTAAGTAATATAAAACGAAATCATTTAGCAGACAAACAATGAGCCGACAATTTTGTTGCAACGGAATATTTCCCGTTCGAAAAAAGGTCCTGGTCAGATTGGAACCCAGGACCTTTGCCATCCCAGGCGTATTCATTACCTCCATACTAAGTTCACCGGAGGCGCTTAGAAATTCAATTTTATTATGAGCCAAGATACCAATTCATTCTATTAAACAAGTTGCTAATCCGAAAAATGAGTCTATACCCCGATATGATAACACTTGCTATGATAACGCTTGCAAGCGTAATTACTTCCTAGACTTTTAAAAGTACCCAACAATGCGGCAGACCGCATTTGTTCTATTTAGAAACAAGCAGGTACGGTACAATTTTAGCTTCTTTTCTTCGAATCTTCCACCAAACGCTATCTATATAAAATTTCAGCTGCTAAATTTTTCATCAAGTTACATATCTTTTAGAGCGGGGCGTTCAACAGTGCCGAAGTACAACAGTGCCGAAAAAGGCGGGAACATTTCAGAATCATTTACACGCAATCTAAATTGCAAATTTTCTCTCGCAAAATCTTTAAGTGCCACTTAAGATTGTAAACGATCTTTGTTTAATTTTTGATTGCCGCACTTAATATGTTGAAATTTGTTCAAATTTTCGGCACTGTTGAACAAAGTTTTCATTTTCGGCACTGTTGAACAAAGTTTTCATTTTCGGCACTGTTGTACTTCGGCACTGTTGTACTGCCCCTTTAGAGCCAATAGCTTGCCTCTTTAAATCGCCTCTTAAGGAACGGAACATATTGCACGTTATTACTCCTTAGCTAGTCAAAGTGGTAATTTTCAAGCCCATTTTATTTTAATAAAATATGTTTCCATTTGTAGCTCAAGAGTTTAATTGTCTTTCAGATGGCACGAAAAAATTCTGTCAAAAATTTAAAGATGAGACTTTGGCTCCAGAAAAAGCAATTCCGAGCACTTAAATTCTGTCAATTTCTTCAAAATCGAAAACGTAAATGTAAAAATTTTCATTTTCAGCGAATTTCTCAAGCAAAAAAAAACCAAGCCTGTATCAATAATGATATGTAGGTGGAACTTATTTATTCAGTTGTCTGTGTAAAATGCACCAATTAGTTACACTAACGCAGAGGTGAAGCTGCACTTCGCAAACTCAATCGGCAAAACGTCAAGAAAAAGAAGAAAGTACAACCACTGCTGAAGTTTTGAAAATAAATAAACTTCATGTGAATCGAACAACAGCGCTGGAGAATTCAAGGCGATGGCCCTAAATGGTTTATAGGGGTTTTTCTTTGCTAATACACCACCAGTGACGAGTTAATTTGTTTTGGTTGTCGTGTAGGAGATCCCGATGGGCCAGATGAGTGCGGAGGACAGACAGGGGGCCATGAATGAGGTGCAGGTGCACAAGATGCTCCCTCCACATGCCAACATAGTGCAACACCTCGACTACTTCATCCACGACAGCAGCCACGCCCTCATCATAGTCATGGAGTACATCAGAGGCGGCACTCTTTATGACTTCATACTGAAGAGAGGAACCTCATTATTAGGTAGAGCTCTTCGTTTTTATATTTAATGCCTAATTGGCAATATCGTTTTTGGTCCACAAATCGGACGAAGTTAATTAACCTAAAACTGCCCATTTCAACGTCGTTTTTCTGTTTTTCTTGATTTCCTCACGTAAAAACCTTGTTCAAAAAACTAATTAACCTTAAATGGTATCTTTTTGGACCAATCAAACTGCTCAAGGTCACTGATATTGCCAGCAATTTGGCATTAACTATATAAACATTTCAAGAATGAAGTTGATAGAAATCTTTCACGTGTTTGTTTGAGACGTAAAAAGCACTGATCCGCCGCATTCTTGATCATTTCTAAGTTTTCAGATTGACTGTTGTTGATTTCTGAAAATATGATTAGTAATTAGTATTATCTGAGATCAGTATTTACTAAACTCTCAAAGCTGTAGAAAAAACTGTTATAAGTATTTAAAAAATTGACTTTGTTAAGAGAAAGGTGAGAGGACTGTTGATGACCTCTGAAAAAAATAAGTAACAGAATCTGTGATTTCCTTGTCCCTCAAAAGCCATAGAAGCAAAATAGTAATAAGTATCTTGAGTTTTGACTTTGTTAAGAGGAAAGCAAGAGGGCTGTTGATGAACTCTTGAGGGGAAAAAATGGCTGAATATGAGATTTCCCAATCCCTCAAAAGACAGAAAAAAAGCTTTAATAAGTATCTGAAATGTTGACTTTGTTTAGAGGAAAGCGAAGTGCTGCATCTGTTCGTGCAGATGGCCTTGGCGCTGCACCACATCCACTCCAGAGGAATCCTCCACCGGGACATCAAGACTCAGAACATCCTCCTCACCAAACCATCTTCATTTATAACTAACAATAATATTAACCAAGACAGAGATCCCCAGATGCAATCACTAGTCACTGCCACCACAGTCAAGCTGTCTGATTTCGGCATCTCCAAGATACTGGCGTCCAAGTCGAAAGCTTACTCGGTTAGTAGACACTTATTCTGTTCTGAAGTAGTCTTGGTCAAGTGTGGTCTAATAATGCTTCCGATGAGCACGAGTCATCAAAGCGGAACATAGGAAGTTTTTTTCATGTCGAACTGAAGACGAAAAGAATGGTCGCCCTGTTGCTTGTCTGATGTTTTTGACAGCTTAATTGCCAGACTGCGGCTTTTTTATATAGTTTAACCAATCTTTATCCTGTTGGTGTTAGTTTAACCAATCAATCTTCATCCTGTTGGCATTTTCCACTAATGATGCGGGTAATTGAGCTCCAATAAATTTATATTTTCTCTTTGTTTTTTCTCTCGATCACAAAAAAGCAACAACTGAAGCTTTATCTTAGATTTTATCTCTTGCCGGAATCAAATCGAGATCATGATTCTATTTGGTTGCAAAAACTTTATCTGATTGGAAAAATCAAGTTTTTTTCACGTTTTTCGACAAAGAGTATGTTGTCACTAGGATTGTCAAGGCTGAGTTTGAACGTTTCATGTTCCAAAATATCTGTTATTACTACAATGTTTTGCTTGTGCTTTTTTAAGGTAGTGGGAACTCCCTGTTATATCAGCCCAGAACTGTGTGAATCCAAACCCTATAATCAGAAGAGTGATATTTGGGCCTTAGGATGTGTACTATACGAGCTCTGTACCCTCAGTCGTGCCTTCGAAGCTGCAAATCTTCCCGCTCTGGTGTTCAAAATAATGAAGGGAAGCTACAAACAGATCAGTGACACTTATTCGCCAGAACTGAAGCAGCTAGTTAGAAGTCTGCTCAACCTGGACCATACTAAGAGGCCTTCTGTGAGTCAGATTCTGGCCCAGCCTATCATTGTGAAAGTGATGTACAGCACGATAGTGGGCATAGGTGCTATTACAATGAACACAGCGTCAAGTAGAAATCAGGTTAGCTGTTTGATTATAATCAGGCTCCGGATCGAAAGTTTTAAATCTGAAAAGTGACATTTTCAAATATATTTTGCAACAAATTTTTGCGACAACTTTTGGTTATGCTCAACGAGGAAGGTAAGATTATTTTTTTTTTGCAATAATTTGGTTATGCTCAACATGGAAGGTAAGATTGTTTATGTCATTATAAAACTGTAAAATCCAAATGGTTTTGAATAGGGTTTCTTTGAATTGTTTCAGATTCTTAGTTCAATGATTCGTTTTTATTGTTCCGACTTTCGATACGAAAGTAACGGAATATTTGTGCTCGGAGTGGGTTTTTTTTTCTTCAGACAAATTTCGACTTTTTAACTAGCCGTTTTTGACGGAATTTTTTATATCATTCAAAAGGTATTGTTATCTTGAGCTTAAATTTGAAAAGATATTTCACCTGTGATCATTTTTCGTAAAGTTATGAGGGTTTAAAGATTGCCATTTTGGCCATTTTGACCAATTTGGGACAATTAACGCGCGATATAATGCGCGCTATTAACGCGTAAGCGGAGATTTAGTCCGTCTTATAAATCGTTCCAAATTGGTTGAACGAAGCTTATTTGCCATAATTGATTTGTTACAAGGAACGAAATCTATCTTTTTGTACTTTATATGGCGTGTGGGGGGATGATTTTCATAAAAATTGCAAATTTTAGAAGAAAAAAAATCTTTTATTTTATTTCATTTAATTTTTTAATGTTATTACTGCTGCTCCATAAACCTTAAAAGGCAGTCGGAACATTCAGGGCTTCGCCCTGATACGAGCAGTCTTGTTTAGATTGGAAATGAGTATAATTCAGCCAAGACACGGAAGGATAACTCTCATAACGAAGGCACATCACAAAGCATAGATGCGGATGGCAATACTGATTCGAGAAGCAACACAAATGTAAATGATAGAGGTGGTGGAAATAGCGCAATGGATAATGTGAGTTCGGTGTTTATGTGGGGTTGTTCCAAACATCAGTATCCAGCTAATCTGGCCCTCCCGTCTGGAGTATGTCGTATGCAGGATATAGCGATTGGCAGGTCACACAAATATGCTCTCTCAGATACAGGAAAAGTCAGTATGAAATCCTAATAAGTTGCAAAAAAATTGGAACATGCAGAATTAACTAAAAAGAGCGATATGCCAAGTAGTAAAAAGTTGGAACAGAAAATTAATTTAAAATCCAAGTAATGCAATTTCGGACAAATTTTGCATGCAAATTCGAATGGCGTTGAGACATGAATTTTGTCTTATTTTGCATGGAAGGTTTTTTGAAATAGTTATTTTGCTCTTTTTAAATATATTTTTTTGTCTGTTCCAACTTTTTTCTACTCTCTATTGTTAACCTCTTTATATTTTGGTCTGTATTTGAAGCTCATAATCAATATGCTAGCGTGTGGAGCGGTGCATACAAGGAAAATATTTCAATAGTGGGAAATGTTCAATTTGAAAAAAGATCTGGAAAGGGCTGAAAAAATTCGAGATCGTATTGTAGGAAGGAATGTGATAGCTACAGAACTAAAAATTGCAAAAAAAAGTTGTAGTTATATTTCGGGTCAGAATAATGTTTTTGATCGTTCTTTTTTTCGCAGATCTTCAGCTGGGAACAAGTGGAAACAACCGAGGAAGAGAGTTGTACGATGCAACTGCCTGGAATGACCACCGCAGAATCTTCCTCAGGTTTCCTGTCTTCCACGTCAACATGCTTCGTGCCCAGATGTCTGGAAGGTCAAGGCGGTGTGGTAGTAGCCAAAATAGCATGTGGAGATCTCTTTGCAGCTTGTGTCACAGACAGAGGAATCCTGATGACGTTCGGCAGTGGTTCCAGCGGATGTCTGGGTCATGGAAATTTCCACGATGTGAAGCAGCCTAAAATAGTGGAGGCGTTAATTGGAAGTGAAGTTATGGACTTGGCATGTGGATCGAATCATGTAGTGGCGCTCACTACAGACCAGGAATTGTTCTCCTGGGGAATCGGAGACAACGGTCGGCTGGGTCTGGCTTCGGCTAAGTGGGGTTCGGGGACAAGCGAAGGAACAGCAGCTGGAAAAGGTGGAAGTGGTTTCAGAGGATGTAACGTTCCTGTGGCTCTCAATGCTCAAGTGTTTGAAAGTAATGTGGTCAAAGTGCACTGCGGACTGGACACTACCTGTTTCATCACCAGAAACAACAAGGTATGCGGTAACGATTGTTATGTAGTAAATTAGTGGTTTGAATTATGACCTCCAGCTCTGTAATTGGTCAGAAAAAGTTGCTTCATAATTTAATCTGATTGGTTGACCAAGTTTAGTGGAGTGCTGAAATGTAGACTTTTTGGGATGTGCAAATTAGTTTTCAACGTCAGAGAAAGCAGTTTGAGTCATTTGAATTATTGGGTCATGTTCAGAAAAAGTTTTGGAAAAGTTTGTCACCAGAAATTTGGAACCAACAGTACAAATTCAATATTGTCAATGTTCAGATTATTACCTAGTACAGAGTTAATAATATGCCTAAACTCAAAATCAGCGCCTTTTTTTCAATGAAGGGATCGTGATTTTTTCAATGATGTCTACGTTTAGTAAACAACGCTTGATTACATTATTTTGATAGAACACTCTGGAAAGAAGTTGCCCATGAAAACAGAAAGAAGTTGCCCAAGAAAACGGCAAAAAATTAAAAAACCAGGTTCTGTTTTTCTGTTTTTTTTTCTCAACATTTACTGTGTTAGAGGTTCATTTTTTAAAAGTAATGAACGTAGTACTTTTATATAGGTCTTGGTGATTTTTTTTTTCAGGAAAAGTCTTAATTTTTTCTTAATTTGTTTTAATCGAGTTTCGTTTAGATCTACGTTTGCGGGAGCAACAGAGACAACAAACTATGTCTGGACTATTTCTCACACGAAGACAACCACACTAAACAAGTGGACTTCATCAATCAGCCGACGAGAATCAAACACGAACTGTTCACACACATTGTTGCATGTTCAGTCGGATACACACACGGCGCATTTATAGATTCCGAAGGTCAACTGGTGTTAAGTGGGTCGAATTCCACAGGTCAATTGGGTCTACCCTCAACAGACAGAAGTGTGGGTACGAGACACGTGACCAAATTGGACTGGGCGGGGGGACGTAATTTGGGGTCCGAGTGTAGATTTGTATCTGTGTCATGTGGCGATTATTTTACTGTAGCTGTGTGTGTTGACGGGACTGTTTTGTCTTGGGGTAGAAATGCTAAAGGGCGACTTGGCAGGCCGATTACACAGGGGGGCAATGATACACCGGGACAGGTGCAATTGAAGGGAGTGGGGGAGGGACGCAACGTTAAAGTGCAATGCAGTCATGATGGTACTATGTTATTGGTTCAGCAGTCACACGGACACTCGAACTGAAGTTTTGTCGCCGGTGTAATTTGCAAGGAATTTAGAACCATTCTGTCACCCGGAAGCAGTTAAAAAAGAAAAGTTTGGATAATTCGGATATCGAAAACGTTGCCTTGTTCGAGTCTGCGTTTGACGCGTTAACTTAATACGTGGTAAGTTTTCTTTCTGGTACTCACAAAAAGTTGCCAAGAGATCTTGAGACTCTGTAGATCTACGGATTTTTGTCTAAAGAGAAAATGCTTATTTTTTGTAGCAATACGATGTCTTCCGGTTAGTGTGCAGTTTATTTCAAGAACGCTGATTTATACACGTTAAATGAGAATAATGTAAGTTTGCTAACATAATATGCTGTCCATAGAAAATAAGTGGAAAAAAGCATCTTCATTGATTTATGGAATACTATGTTTCTATGTAAATATTGTGCATTAACTACTAACAATGGTTGTAAAAACTAATATAACACAAATTGTACATAAAGAGATATTTTGGTACTCTTAATTTATTTTGTTGAATTCAATTATTTCTATTTTTAATTTTTGTTACTGCTAGCGAGTGTAGAGTTAGTTATTTAACGAATCCACTTATTTCTAACCCAACGAGCTAAAAAGTGCTCATTTGGTTGGCTCTTTTGCTGCATAGCATTGACAATTTAATAGCATTGATCTATCGGCTTTTTTGGTGGCAAGTGTTGAAGCGGCCGTGGCGTAGATACGAGGACGGGACACTCTTAGTCCACAGGACGGCGGTTCGAAACAGGCACAACTGAAAAGTTTTGTTTTTCCGAGGCTTGTTTGTTTTTGTTTCCTTATTCCCTTTTTTGCGCTTTTGTGTGCGAAAGAAAGCTACGCCTTTGTTACGGGCCATTCTATTGTAATCGGTTAACAGACTTTTTTACCAGTCAAGAATTATGTTCACAGGCGTCATCTCCTTGGGTTTGGAGTTGAAATTTTAATAGACCAGACGTATTTTGGGCACTTTGCATTTCAAACACCTTTTTTCACACTTGCAAATCTAGTGTTCGAAATTGATCAGTACCTTGTTTGTGGAATTGCCAACTCCGACTTTGTAGAATTTTCAAGTGTTCATGAACGAAGTGATTTATCTTTAATTGAGGTCTTGTAGCTTTATGTTCAGGAAAAATCCTATAAGTTGTTCACACTCAAGATTAATTTTTTGGTGGTTTGACTGACTTTTTCAGAATCAATAAATGTAGCGAAGATTTTTATATAGGTCGTGATGATTTTTTCAGAAAGTCTTAAAATTTGTTCAGGCTCAAATTTGATTTTTGCTGTTTAATTTTTTGTTCATTTTTCAGAGTCGATGAATGTAGCTCAGAGTCTTATATAGGCCGTGATGATTTTCTTCAGGAAAAGTTTTAAAGTTTGTTCTGGCTCGTAGTTTGACTTTTGATTTTGAAATTCCGTTTATCTATCTATATCTATTCTATACTTTATTTAAATGCTAGTGACAGCTATCTCCCATGTTTAAGCATAATAATTTTGCATGTTTAACGAAAGAATTTTTTCATGTTTAAGCTATATCATATATTGCAATGCTTAAGAAAAATTTTCATTTAGTTTTCCGCAAGTTCATTAATTTTTCAGTAATTTTTTTCGAGGCCAAATTAAGTCTGTCTGTCTGTATACCTGCTTTTTTTAAATTAATTTGATTATGTCTGTCTACCCGTCTCCTAATTTTTTTATTTTCTTCTATCAAATCTATTATATATTTAAATGCGGGCTTCACTGTCTCGCCATGTTTAAGCTTTTTCAACGTATTTTTTTGCATCTTCAACAAAATAATTTTTTCACGTTTAAGCTATAACGTATATTGCAATGTTTTTTTTTTCGATTTTCCCGTTTAAATTCAGTTTTTATTTCATCAAGTTTAATTAGCAACCCAATAGTTGGATGTTGTCAGAGTTTTCCCAGGTTTTGCGATTCTGACCTCCATATATGAATAACCAATTCCTTGTAGTTTTCGAGATATGACGTTTTTTATGATTTTTCAAAAAATTTTCAAAAACTTAGATTTTGAAAAATTCCAATACGTCGAAGATCTCAGTCCTGTTGTTGGATTTTGTGAGGGTACTCTCAGGGGTTGCGAATCTTGCCTCCAATTATGGCTGCTCAAATCTTTGTGGTTTTTGAGATAGACGTTTTTTTAGGATTTAAAAAAAAAATTTCAGAATTTTTTTTAGATAAAAAAGTTCACAAAATTTGATATTCCCATCTCTGTGGTGAGGCTCTGTCAGGGTACTCTCAGTAGTTGCAATTTTGCCTCCAAATATGAGTGTATTTTTTGAGATATGATATTTTTTATGATTTTCTCTGAAATTTTCAGAAAAAATTAGATGTTAAAAAATTCCAAAACTTTGAAGATGTCAATACTGTTATTGGAATCTCTGAGGGTACTCTTATGAGGTTGGAAATCTTGCCTTTGAATTTGTCTGCTCAAAATCTTGTAGTTTTCGAGATATGACGTTTTTTAGGATTTTCTCAAAAATTTTCAGAGAACTTGGGTATACATTTTTTAAAACTTCAAGTTACCATCTTAGTAGTGAGGCTCTTTCAGGGTACTCTCAGGAGTTGTGAATTTTGCCTCCAAATATGACTACTCAAAACCTTGCAGTTTATTTTTTTTTTTAAGTTTGAAATTCTTAACCTGTAGTTGGAGGCTGTCAGAGTATTCTCAGGAGTTGCAAATTTGGCCTTCAATTGGGATTGCTCAATTTTTTTTACTTTAGGAGATACGACGATTTTTTTGTAATTTTTTTTTGGAAAATTTCAGGAAACTCAAATTACAAAATAATTCACTAAAGTGAAATTCCCAACCCTTTAGTTGTGTGCTGTCAGAGTACTTTCAAAGATTGCGATTATTGCCATCTAATAAGACTACTCAAATCTTGGTAGTTTTCGAGATGTGAAATGTTTTCTGGTTTTCAAAAAATACTTCTTTTTAGAAAACTTAAGGTGAAGTTTCTCAAAATTTGAATTTCCCACCGTTGTAGTTGGGTGCTGTAAGAGTACTCTCAGTTGTTGCAAATCTTGCGCCCAAACGCGACTGCTCAATTGCTTTTAGTTTGCCAGATGTGACGTTTCTTAGTTCATTTTAAATGCTTTCAAAGACTAATATAAAACTTCACCAAATTTTATGGTTCTTCAAAATTTGTATAAAAAATTGAATAACATCTTTGCAAAATTTGTAATTACGAACCCAAAGAATGCAGATCTTTTTTCCAATATATGTGGTTTGTACCGGAGGTGCGTTTTACGCTAGTTTACTTAAAAAGAAAGGCAGACTCCATAATCGATCAGCACAAAAAAAAGAAAAAGTTACCAAAATTTTAATCCAATTCTAGTTTCGACTGAGGAATTAGAAGTTGTTCTCAATGTGCGAAAAGCTTTCAGGTCATCTATTTATTTATTTGAAGTTCGAAAATTGAGATTTCAAAAAACAAGTCAGTATTTTTTCTGTTTACTTGCGTTCATTGACTCTTTTCCAACTTTCTTTTGGCAATGCTAATTTAGTTCGCTACGTTTACTAAAGGGAAGGCAACTTACACTCTAAATAACGAAAGTTTGAGTGACTTTTATTTTCGAAAATTGTTTTAAGTTCTTAAGTGGATTAAAAAATTAACTTTTGACCTCAGTTTTTCTGGGTTAGCTTTACAAAATAATTTTCAATCGGAAATGATTTTTGAATAGCAAAGAGCTTTATCGTGATTTATTGCTGTCTCATGAAACCGAAAAGTCAAAATTGTTCAGAAAAAGTCAATCATTTTTTTTTTTTGGGTTTTACTTGAGTTCGTTTAAACTTTGCCAATCGTCTGTTGGATAAATTTTTTTTTTGAATTTTTTTTCATTTCAATATTTATCTGGCGTGAGATTTCGGCGTATGTTATATCAGCTAGGTAGCTTTTTTGTGTCATTTGTCGGGCAAAGAGGTATTTTCATGGTGAGCGTCTGATAAACTTCTGTTTCTCGTTTATTTTTTTTATGCTCATGTTTTGTAGCGGTTTTTCTAATGCGGTTTGTAGCGGTTTTTCTAATGCGGTTTGTAGCGGTTTTTCTAATGCTAAGTTTAGGCGGGCAAAATTTCATTCGAAAGTTTGCTTGACATTGCCAAGTAATTGAAAGAGCTATAAAGTGTCGTCTGATCATTATATTTGTCTGTTTTTTTTTCAGGCTAATGTTTTAGACTCAAACTGGGAAGAGCCACTCCAGTTGATGTACTGCTCAGTATTTTGCCCAGATTCAATGACTTCAAATTCTTAGTTTATTAATTATTTAACGGATAGCTAGAGTATAGACACTGTGGGCGTTGCGTGTGTCGACGGGGGAGGCACTATGAATCAAAACAGACGAGGAGGGGGAGGGGCTCCTAGAGAAGATAGACACAGAGGAAAGATGGCGCGGGGTAAAGGTCAAGGTCATCAAAATTCGCCGCTACCTGATGAGATAAGACAGTCGAATCTTCAATACTCGGTGCAGAATGACTATATCGACAGATACAATGAACCCCGAATCGGTGGATATCGGTCGAAGCAATATCCGTCCGACTGGGATCGAGACACCGACCATACTAGGGACTCCGGTTCGAGAGCATCAAGAGATCACTACGAAGGACCTCGCGAGTTTAAGTCCAGGGGGAGTGTTCTAGGGAATTACAGAGAAGATGGGTCCTCCGAGTGGGGAGCCCAAAATAGAGGAGGTAACAGAGGTCATAATAGGTCAACTGGCGGTAGATGGAGTGATGAAAGTTCGACAGGGTCCAATAACTCGTTTTACACTTCCTCGTATAAAAGCAGACCCCCGGGTGCGACTTCTGGTAATTATGCCGGCCGAGACGGTCGCTATGATAACAGGAACGGTTACAGAGACCAATACGAGGATTCGAATAGAACGCCCAGAAATACATATCGAAGAGATGAGAATCAAAAGGAGGAGGAGGATCGATTCCAGGACCAGCGAGGCAACTACGGAAGAATGACTGACTCAGCGCCTGATAGGCAGAAAGAAAGCAAAAGTGAACCTCAATCATCTCGGGAGACTCCGAAGTCCGCTAATAAGGTATATGTAATAGACATATTTTATTCAGTTGAGTTTTCTTTGAGAACGGTTCCATAGTGGGTTATAAATATCAAATTTAGTTGTTTTTAGGCCGGTTTTTCATGACAAAAAGACCAAATGCGCAAATTTGTCAAACAATCAAGGTCCTGTAAACTGTCGAAAACTGACTGATTTTCTTTCATTTCTAACGGATTTTTGAATACTGAATTCTGATTGGCTGATATAATTTTCGTAAATTCGATCCTTCTGGCACGGTTGATTCCCAAATGTGTATCTTCGTTGTTGCCTTTATGTTTGGCTAACAAAACTAAATGATTTTGTATTTTTTAGAAAGATCAAGGTGGTGGTAAGAAACGTGGAAGGTTAACGGAAATTGCATCTTCACTCATTAACAATGGAAACGAGCAAATAACGCCAGTATCTGCGACCCCAGAACATCACAAGCAGTCGCAGAGAAAGACGCGACCGACCGACAACCATGAAAGACAAGAACCTCTGTTTCAAAATTTAGAAATGAGTGTCGAAAATGAATACAGTAAAGGTTCAAATAATGACCGACAGAGAGAAGTGAAACAAGGAAAAGGTTTGTTCAAAGACTGTCTGCTAGCCATTGCGCCTTCTGATCAGACCCGAAAACAATCTGGAAGAATTGATGGTGCCAATTATCACGATGATCGACTGGAAAGAGACTATGAAAGTGATGGAAATGATGGTTCTAGACAGGTACGTCAGTTCACGCCGACCTCTATTTTTAATATTTGCCCGACCCTTTTTCCTTTCGTCTACCTACTAATGTTTTCCGGTTCAAATTACGTTTACATTTTTGTGTTGGTTTTCATTTGAATCTTCAACGAATTATGACAAGTTGTGTGATGAAATACTTCGTTTGTGTTGATATGAATAATGTCTCGTTATTTTACTGTGTTTAGAAGTCTTCAATGAAGATGAATGGTTTCAACTCCGACTCAGACGGGGAAGTGGTGGGTCTGAACAATAGTCCCAAGGCTGAAGACATGCTGTTGGGGGTGCCTGGCTTTACAGATGCAGATATGGAGAAGGAAACGGAAGACGAAGAAGAAAAGGAAGAAGATGATGACCTCCTCCAGTTACTCAACAGCTCGAAGGTACTTCATTTAGGGTGATTATAACCAAGTTTTGATTACAATAGTTGGCTTCTGCAGTTTATTTAGAACTAAATTATAGTTCATGCGTGTTTGATTAAGATGAAATCAAAATAAACACGTAATTAAGTTGAAAAATTCCTTTCGGCTTTTTTTCCGTAATATAAATGTATATATTGAAATGTGTCTGCCATGTTTAAGCTATACCATATTTCGCACGTTAAATCTTTCAGAACCGAATGCACGTTAAAGCTTAAACGTATATTGCGATGCTTAAGAAGAGTTTCGATTTTCCAATTCATGAAGGCGAGATCAATTGCAGTAAAACACAGAGCGAGATAAGGCAAGGCAGGGCAGCGTAATGAAGGAAAGCGCAAGGCAATGCAAAGTGGGCCACCTCAAGGGAAGACAGGGTATTCAAGGCAAAGCGGGGTAGGATAAGGGTGGGATGTGATTCATCTAGTCATTTATCCAGCCATTCATCGAATCGGTCAAACATCGATCACCTATCAACATTGCTATCCGTCCTTCAAGTCATCCATCGATCCATTCATCAGCCTTCCTTCCATTCAATTCTCAGTCCAACCAGTCAGCTAGTCATCCATCCATGAACAGCCATTTATACATCAACAGCCAAACAATACATCAACAGCCATTCATCCATCAACCAGCCATTCATCCATCCAACCAGCCATTCATCCATCCAACAGCCATTCATCCATCAAGCCGCTCAGCCATACCTTTCAAGCCATGCATCCATTCATTAATCCAGGCATCGTTTCATGCACTGAGCCATCCATCCGTTTAGCCACTCGTCATCTAGCCATCCCCCGGACCATCCATCCTTGAAAACGTTCATATTCCAACCATTCATCGATCCACTACTTTATTCATACATCCATCAAACACTTCATACAGTCAGCCATTTATCCGTTCTTCCAACCATCCATCCAGACAGCCAGCCATCCAATCTTAAATCCAATCATTCAGCCATCTCTCAGTGTAGCCATCCATTCAACGATTCCTCCATACGTTTATCCATTCAACCCTGCAATCCATTTGTCCATCAATCCAAGCAGTCAGCAATGCATCCAGTCATCCAACCATCCATGCATCTTTCCATGCAACATCAGGTCATCCATCCATCCTGCCGGCAATCCATGTGCCCATCGTCCATCCATCCAACTAGCCATCGATCCATCTTTCGGTCCAAATTTCCAGCCATTCATCAAGCCATCCATGCATACGTCCAGCAGCCATCCATACATTCAGCCAACCAATCATTCGTTCGTTTGAACCAGCGATCCATCAAGCCCTCCATCGATCCATCTATTTATAGCTGCAATGTGTCCGCTAGTATAAGTTAATGTCATATGCCTTTTTGGTTTATTCGACTGGGTTTTATTTGTCGCGGCGTCAATTAAGTAAGTGGAGTCAACGATTTTTTTCAAAGTACAATCTGCGCAAGAAAAATTGCAGTCGCTGCTTTCAAGGGACCGCGGCCTTACTTCGGGTTGCCATTTTCTGTACTTTAAATTTGTTGTCATTCTTCGTCGAAAGGCGTATTTTATTTAATGTTTGCTTACTCAAAAATGGTTTTCCATTAATCCTAGAATATGTAGACGAATTAAGGTCCCCAGAAATTGAACCATAGCTGTAGAGTTCTTCGAAAGGTTTCCAAGACAGCTCCAAAAATTTCTCTTTTTTACTCCTAATTTTGTGTAATTCCATTTGAGTCGCTTGATACCCTAATTTTTATCTCATATTTTAAGAACGAAGTCCATTAGCTGTGCAAGTAGCATAGAATGTTCCGACCGAAATGATTTCAAAAAGGAATATAGAAACAAAAATTTTTTAAAAGTCTAAAAATTGTTCCTGTTATTTTAGGCACGGGGATTGAATAAAATGAAAAATACGAGAAAGAGAGGCTATTATATTTAAAATAACGTTAAAAATAGCGTTGAAGTTCTATTCCAATCGAAGTTGGTGAATCAGTTTTATATAATTTCATCTAATTTAGTCTGAAAAAAACGAAATTACTTCAGACCAATTTTTCTCGACACTGAGATCAAAATTTGAATTTTGAATCCAAATCACGACCAGTAGAGTTTAATAGGATATTACACTTGATCTCTTCAAAGATTTTCTTGAGATTGTCAAAATTGGTTGGATTTCTTAGTAAACAGCCACCCTCCTTTTTGGCTCTTTCCCACTGCGAGAGGTGTCGGACAAATAACAAATTAACAAAGATGTGGGATAAATAACCACCGATTGCTGCCGCGAATTGAATAAATGATTTCCAGAGTTGAAGAGTAGAATAAAGATAAAGATAGGTGAATGAATAGACATGATTTAAACGCTCTTGGCTCGCGCAACTAACTTGGCACCAAAACAATTTGACAAACAGAATTCCTTGATAAGTTAACTGCACTAAATAAATAGGTAGATAATTACATAGATACTCAGCATAGATTGAGTTACCGGTGGCCCCATGACACAAGTATGTCTCGAAGATGTACCGGGACATCGTAGGAAAGTCAGCTTCTTTAGCCTCCTGAATTGATGCGCGCAAAGATTCATGTAGCTTTGGTCAATTTTCTCATCAAAAGTCTGCTTGCTCTGTAAAGTTTGTACAGCCGTTGGCTCGAAGCTGCCATTTTGCGGCGTTCTGAATTTGATAAAACTGAGGGATAGCATCATTCGACAAGCATTTCTTTGAATAGCTGCTTTGAAGCTATCAGTTCACTCAGAAGCGACTGGCGTTACTGATTAATTTCCCAATTGAATGCAATCATTTTGTTCGGTTTTCAAGAAAGTCATGATGATGATGGATATAGGCTTGACCTCCCATTCTTATCGCAAAGATGGACGGACCGTATGGTCGAAATGCTTGACAGAATAAGTACGTCGTAAGAGCTCGTTTGAGTTCCTTTTAGCTAAACTAATTCTTTCTTTGTTCGTTCGTAAGATGTGATTATTCTTGTGTAGGATGTGGTTACAAGTCATCTGACATGTCTGACCCCAACAGTAGCTGACAGTGACCGGTTCTTGCAAGCGTGTGATGCTCAAAACAAAGCAGCGAATAACAGGTACCCCCCGATGATGCCCCCTCCACCCGTGCAGTGCGACAATGACACAGAGTTTCCCCCACCCACTTTGTCTATCAAACCCCCGAAAAAGAAGACAGATGCAAATGGACGAGAATCCCCAACTGAATTTGACCCTATGGGATGCTGCGGAGCAAAATTTAAAGATGGTTAGACTTTGCTGCTTATTATGTTTCAATAGATTTTGCAAACAGTTGTTGTGGAATCACCGAATAACATAAATAACTGCGGTAGATTTTCGTAGCTTACTTTTTGCTTGACATTTCTGGCGGGTTTGTGCCTGATTACAAACATAGTTGTTTTGGCCTATAATGGCAGTATTTTCCTGGTTAATATCTGAATTAGTTTTTTTGATGAATGCTGAAACCCACGAACCCGAATAGTTTTTTTTGGTTTAAGTAATTGCATGAATGAGTATGATAAGTCAAGTCACCATTTAATCAAATAGCACTGGCATTTGTTAATTGGAATTTCAAGTCGACACACTAAAAAATTCATCTCTATCTCTGACAAGTTTGTTGAAGTCGTGATATTAGGTTTTGTTTTTAGACGTGCAGACACCATCGAATGACTCTGATTCGCAAAAACAAGAAAGAAGATCCTCGCGCACTCCTGTTCTGGGCGATGCTCCTGAGGAAAACCCCGCCGCCACAGGCGACTCGCCTCAAAGCGTAGTGGCAAAGTTTGAGAAACTGAAAATGTCGCAGTCGTCCTCCTCGGAAAAAAGAGCGGCAAACAGACGCAACCAGTTACAGTCGTCTGGAAAGGGTATTCTGGATACACCCAGTAGCGGAGGCGGCAGTGGTGGTGGTGGTGGTCGGAAAGGGAAGAAGTTCACAAAAGCCCCGGTGGAGTTCACAAATATGCTTTTCAAGTCGAAAGGAGATTTGTTAACAGAAGGTATAAGCAGTTACACTCAGAGTGACAGCGAGGATGAAGTCGAAAGTTGGGGACGAAAATTTAAGGAGAAGTTTTCCCTAGAAAAAACGACAGGAGAGAAGTTTGTAGATTCGCATTGCCACATTGACTTTCTTTTGAAAAGACATAACATGAGGAAGGACTCGAAGTGGTCGGAGTACAACCGAAGACACTTCGCCTATGTTCCCGAAAGTTTTGAAGGTTTAGTTGCTGTGTTTTGTGAACCATACGCTTTCAGGGAGTTCCAAACTTACCATCATTTATTAAGTGAACCAGGAGTAAATTGCGTTGCAGCTTTTGGGATCCACCCCCATAGTGCTCAACACTACAACGACGACATCGAACAACGTTTGATAAAGGCTCTTCAGCATGAGAGATGCACCGCTTTGGGTGAAATTGGACTGGACTATTCGGAAAGAGCTAGCGGCGCGAGCGAAGCTGTTCAGCAAAGAGTTTTCAGAAGGCAATTAAATTTAGCGCTTAAAACGGGTAAAAATTTGGTTCTTCATTGTCGTGATGCAGATAGGGACTTGAACCGTATTCTGCAAGAGGAAATGCCGAGGGATTGGGTAATGCATAGGCATTGTTTCACTGAGAATGTGTCCCTTTTGGAGGACCTTTTGAAGACGTTTCCAAATATGTACATCGGCTTTACGAACTTGATTTGTTTGGGCAGCGCATACGAGCCGCGGGAGGCAGCTAGGTAAGAGCTACTTGCGTTTGTTTGAAAAGATTGGTATATTAACTTAATTTTTTTAGCAATTTTTCAAAATTATTTTGTTGAAGAAAAAACAGTCATCTACATGCTTTAAAAAAAAACATCTGCGCTCTTCGAAGCTTTTCCGAACTGGTGGATTTATGATAGCTCAATGGATTTTTAATTCGTCTTCCAGCCAATTTTTTGTGCTATATTAGTATGTCTTCATGTGTTCTGTTAATGTATAAAATTTCTCAAAATGTTCTTACAAATGTCGTTTTTTACAGGAGAGTGCCTCTCAATCGACTTCTTCTGGAGACAGATGCGCCCTACTTTTTGCACCCAAATGTGCCCAAAAGAGTCCAGTACGCACACCCTTCTATGGTCATCTACGTGGCAGAGAAAGTGGCATCTCTAAAAGGCATCCACATAAGCGAAGTGCTAAGACACGCTAGACACAACACGCATACAGTGTATAATTTATAAACGAGCGATTAATCGGAATTCGACACTATGCGTCTCGTTCTCGGCCCCAAGAAAAGACGGCGATGTTAACCGAGCCTAAAACTGAGTCTGAGATATGCCAGCCAGTTTCGCTGTTTTGCTACTCGTCAAAGATCAAGCCAAAGACAAATAAAAACTGGGAAAAAAAGGCCTCAAAATAGAACTACACATTATCTCAGTCAAATGTCGAAATTGTTCAAGTAATTTTTAGGATCAGTTTGTCATCAGGTCTTACCTTTTCATTATAAAAGGTCTACACGTTTTTGTGTGGTATATGTGTCATTTTGATAATATACTTATTTAAAAATCATGCAATATATTTTTATTGTTCCGACCACGAAAAACAACATCAAAAATAAAACGAAAAAATGCTTGTAAATATGATTTCATATCTTTGAAAAAATCATTTATCTTCAGAAAGTTTTTGGCAAAAAGGTTTTGTGGTCGGAACCTTCTGTGCTATCTACATGCTCAGTAACACGCTATTCTTGTATTTATAATTATCTGCTTTGTGAAATTCCAATATTTTTCTATCCGCCTGCCTTCTGTGTTTTCTTGATTACAAAAGGGGCTACTCTGTAGCAAAGGGGAGCCATGTAAAAAGTGTACATAGTGTAAATCAAGAGAACTCACTAAAAAACTTTTTCTTGAATTGTACTGTAGTTTCTCATAGTCATGGTATTTTAAATAAATTTCTTTTAATTGTGGTAAAGTTCGGTTGTTTAGGTTGCTGAAACTGCTCTTTGATACTTCGTTTTCTACCTAATCGAATCTAAAATGTGCCATTTGGGTTGGATTTGATTCTAAATGATTTGATGCTATTGTTGAATTGTCTAAAGCGTACCGTGTGTTGAGTAATGAATGATATTGAAGAAAAATTTCTCATAAAGTTCCTTTGAAAAGAACTTGAGCTTGGAAAAGTGACCAGTTGTAGTCGAAGTAGGATAGTAAACTTTTGAACTGCAGGGTTTCAAAAATTTTGTTTACAAGACTAGTTATTACATCTGCGCTGCGAGAGCAAGTGTCTTGTAATCAGGAACTAGACTTTTTTCTGAAAACAATGTTTCTTAAAATATGTAAGAAATTGAACTTTTAATATTATTCTTACTATATTTTTTTAAATACGATAGTCTTTTAAATATTATTCTTACCACCAAAAAGTTACGCAATTTTTTTTACCCACACGAAAAGGACTTCTCCCTGTGTTTAGTCGAAGTAATGTGTTGTACAAAGTTACTTGTCAAGCTGCGCAGCTTGATATGTTGGACAAACTGTTGGACTTCAAGAGCTCTCACGTAAAGGAACGCCGCTTTTGCGCATTTTTTATTTTGCGATGTGCCCCCATATCTATTAGATAGTCAGCAGAAATTAAAGACTCAAGGTTCCAGCACACACTCCTCACGTTAGAGGCTCTGGTTATCGTACAAACTCGTCCTATCATCAACACAAGAGATGAGTATCGCTCGAAAGAATTGACTATCAGGTTCAATTGAATGAATGTTGGTACTGTTTCAACCTTGTTGAAACCATCATTTTTTATTGGTTTGTTCAAACTTTTTAGTGCTTGCGTTTTTTTATAGTTTTTTTTGTTTTCAGCGATAGAAATGCCTGATGATGATTTTTTATCGAAATGCAGTGCGGTTTTTAATTTATTTCTAATTTATCTGATTTGTTTTTACTGCCTTAATTGAACTTGCTTTGATATTGAGCCGTAAAAAATTGGTCTAGACATAACATGGTTGCTTTCGCCTCCTAAAAATAGGGTTTCGATTCTAAGACGGATCTTGTTGTTTTTCAGTAATTTCATTGACTATTTTCAGTTGGCTATTTTTACACAAGAAGAATTGTTAGCTTTGTAGTAGCATGACTGGTCGTTTTTTTCCAAACTTAATCGCAATTAAAATGCTCGTTTGGTGGTATTTTCGCTGAAATCACGATGGCTTAAATCAGGACTTTTTGTGTGGCTAGTGTGTGTAGTTAGTGGCTGAAAAGGACTCAAGTTTTGAGAACCCAGGTTCGAATCCATCAGAAAGAGATAATTTTACTAAATTGAGCCTTTTTTTTTACCTTTTTTAATTATTTTTTAGTGCTGCTTTTAGTCGTTTTTTTTCGCCTGTGTTTGCGAAGCACAGCTTAGCTTCTTTTGGTAAATCATCTGCTCGAAATTTGAAGTTTTCCATTGCTTGCTTTCAATTCAAGCCAATCCGTAATTGACTTTCCGAACTGTCCCAAACCTCTAAAAAGACCTGGGCTATCTGTAGGCATGAATTTTTTTTGCGATAATGATTGATATTCCATTTTTTAGGATATATTTTACTTTTTCTACAATTTCACATTGTGTTAGATTTTCGACTAATGCATGAAAAAATTAAAATATATCCAAAAAATTTGAATATCAAGCATTATCGCAAAAAAAATCATGTCTACAGATAGCCCAGGTTATAATTTGAAAAAGTATTTGCTCTTGTAAAATCAACTTTCGCACACCATGGAGACGATAAAAATTAGTCAGGACGAAAAAAAATATAACTGTCCAGAATTGATTCTGTAGATGGCTGCAACAGCTGTCTCAAATAAGGTATCTGCAAATTATCAAAAGTGTCCGATTCAGAACACGAATAACTTCGTGCTTGTTTTACAATTAATTAATGAGAAAAGTGGCAATTTATTTGCTAAAAGAAGAGACCAAAGACATTTGCCCAAAATGACTAACTCGAACACGACCTCGCTGAATTTCAAGACAAGCATGCCCTCGGACAGATTTGCGAAGTTGCCAAAAAGTTAACAGAATTGTTGAGTGATCGTTTGAGTTGGCTATAGCAAAGGATTCGGAAAATCAGAGCTAAACATTTGAAAGCACAATCCTAACCAAGAAAAACGGAACCTGGAAAAAAAGAATGTATAATTTGTTGGTATATATTTAATAAACAGCTTTTGAGGTTTTTCAAGAAAACAAGAAAGCTTCACATTCAAGTTTTCATCAGGAGACGTGGCGAAATAGTGTATGCAAAAAAGAGATAAATAAAAAAGCTAAATAAAAAGAGCTAAATAAAAGGTTCACTAATGTTAGGAGATTTGCTCAGACTGGGAAGTCGGGAAGCCGCTTGGCATGTTATTTAGGCATGCGTGAACTCAGCCAAACTCCTAGATCCGTTCTAAACGTTGACTGTTTGAAGTGTTCGTTTAAATTAGTTAGGGATAAGGAGGAATTAGAATAGATAAAAAGAATTAGAGCAGCACCGACTACGGCCAAAGCATTTCCCTACTCGATCAAATTGGTAAGGTTTCTTCGAGAAGTCTTTCAAAAACTAACAATTACCAAATTTATCACCATTTCTGGTTGGTTTGCAAGGCCACTGTCCTAGTAACGGGACCAAGCAATCTGGACAATTAGATGTTTGCTGCACCAAAATTGTGTAAGCAATCAACCATTTTTTGAGACATTCTTCAATCTGGTTCAAGAAAACTTTAGAATTTTTTCATCAGAACATAAACCAGATGTATTTGAAATAATCAGGCTTTTTAACCCAATTAAAGTCCTTTTGTCGTCAGAAAAGTAAATAGATAGTATAGAAGCGATAAAACAACTCACTGTTCAAAATAGTGTCTGAAGCTCAAAAAAAAGGTTAGATATCATTTGACAGTAACTAAAACAACGAAATCCACTCACACAAATTTCCTCCGTCAGCAATTCAAGATAAACGTTTCATTGTACTGTCTCGAACAAAAACTGGACGAGACAGCTAATGGCAGATCTTAATAACCATGAGCTCAAGAAAAAGTGATTACAAAAAAAGGTTGCACAACCCAGTCACCGCCCCTAATACTTCGGAAATGGTGAGTTCAGAGATGACGCTATTGGCAAAATGTCACATCATATTAATGTGCCAACAAAATTCGTTGCAGAATGTTTCCATTACGAGAACAAATTGTGCATCCTTTTGTTCTTCTTTTGCTCTTTCATTTTCTTTGATCGTTCCGACAAAACTTTATCATGTTTAAACCCAGGAACATACAGGCACAAAATTGTGGGCATATCCAGTGCACAGTTTGGCCTCGTCAAGTCACGAAAAGGAGATATGAGCTGGCATCTCTGCGATGGCTATTCACAACTCTTGGCCAGACCTTGGATGAAAATGTTCGTGCAAAGATGTCGAAATGGAATCTGCAGAGATTCCCTAGCATCACAGCATTGTGCGCTCAAGAAAGTATAAAATCTTGCGGTTCATTATAGGATTGTAACAAAACTTATATCTACGCTAATCGTTGGATAAAACACATGCTGTCATTCATTGACAGGTCGATCTGAGTAGCATTTCAAAAATCTTCGAAGAATCCCTCTCACAGCCACTGAGTCGGAGAAGAGCCTTCGCATCGAACCATAAAAGTGGTATACAAGGTAATATACTACGATTTTCGCTCTTTTGCTTCATCTGCCCTGTAAGAAAAGCAAGGAAAAATCATTATTATGTGAATCACCGATGCTACTGGGTCAAATAATTCCAATGATGAATCCGCCAAGTCTAGAAAGCACTAGCCCGATGCGTAACTTCACAGGATAAAATAGTGCCAAATTTAGCGTCATGACATCCACTACCGTCTCGGATAGATAGTACGGGTTCGGGTGAACATATTTCATCTCGTTTCATTAGTTCTAATGACTAGTTCTTTTGACCTTGATCAGCTGGAGTACCCAGTTATACCAAGGATAACGGATAACTCAGTTTTTTTACCTGTTTTCCTAAACTGTAAAAGAAATAATAGACAAATTTGCAGTAGCTACAGCGGTAGCTGGTTGAAAGGAGGCGAATCCTCCCTTGAAAGGAGGCGAATCCTCCCTCGACCTTTTGTCACCTTCAAAGCCCAAATATACTAATTTTCAGGTAAAAATATTTCACTAACTAGGCTGTAGTAATACTCGGACGAAAACAATCTCTGTAAAATTTAGAAGAAAAATAGAGCTCTTCAATTATGTTAGTCTGCTTCCGATCATAATTTTGTGGGAAAGGTTATAATCACGAGGAGGCTCATGCAATATGCTAAAACAGGGCCAGATTTGGGGTGGTGCTTCCCCATTCTCAAGGATTCGACCCCCTCACCAACCAAAGGATCTCAATTTTGGTATTTTATTTGCATTCATTTTTGACGACCAACCAATAACCGACAAATTTTCGAAAAAATTCGCAAAACGGCATTTTGACCTGTTTTTTTTTCTTCAAAAAGTTGCCCGCCGCGCAGGAACATTTGACGAAATAGCGTCTCTGTAGTATTCTGAGAGCGCTCGGGGCTCTTTTTCTTTTTTCCTACCTTCTTTGTAAAATCACAAAATAAAACTGTAAAATAGTTCATACGGCAAATTGCATGTTAGAAATGTTACAATCTAGTAACAACTAGTTCACACTGACACGTTTTATAACAATTTAGAAAACCAAAAAACCTTTAAAAGCTGATTTTCTTGAGTTGGGTAAAAATAAAGGGGTTGGCAGAGAGTCGCGCTCGAAAATCGAAAAATCAATTTAGTCGACCTAAAAACAGGTCGTCAAAACTTTTGAAAAATTTTGAAAATCTGCGACCCCCTCCCGAGAAAATCCTAGATCGCTGCGCTAAACTCTAAAGATGGTAAAATATTTATGCAGAGGGAATGACGCTACTGGCAATAAACCTAAACAAGATCTCAAATGGTTAATGCTCAGTTAGTCATGGCCTAATTAGTTTGAGTACTCGTATGAACGAGTTGTCATTTCAATGGTGTGTTCTATACTAAGTGTAAGTGCCATGAATTTGCCAACTACAAATAATCTGACCTTTGTTGGAACAAAACATTTATAGAAACATGACATTGGTGGTTGTAGTTATTTCTTGCAGTATGTTGAATTACTTGATCGGAATTACAGTTGGTATAGCTCTATGATAATCAGAAGTTGTTATTGAACTTTTTGACACTCGGTAATGTGAAATTACGTGACAGATTTATGTCGTAATTAGTTTTGAAGGTCTTAGTTTTTGTTTGCGAACTGTTTTTCTGAGGAATTGTTTAGTAAAATCAGTTATACTCGCGAGACAACGCTGATACTTTTAGTGTTATTATCCAACAAAAATTGATGTGATTTTGATAGTTTTGAAAAGTAATTAATTATACTTAATCACGGCGATGTCTTTCATGTCCAATTCGAGTGGTCCATACGACGTGTTAATCAAGGTCATGATGCTGGGCCACTCAAGTGTGGGTAAGAGTTCTATGGTCAGCAGTCTCTGTGAACAACCCTTCTCCCCCTCCCACTTACACACCATCGGAATCGACTTCAGGGTCAAACACTACCATCTAAAAGGTAACGATATTGATTCAAACATAGCTATCTGCGTGACAATTTCACGAAAAGTTGTCTCGGTGTCAAGAAAAATTGGTCCGAAGTTTACCATTTTTAAGATAAAGTGACACAAAACCTACAAATGACGCCAAGCCAGAGTCAAATCTCTATTTAATTTGACTGCAATTTTAACAAAATCTTATCAATTTTCGCATCCTTCTTTTTTGTGATTTGAAATATTTTAATCGGTCTTTACAGAAAGCAAAAAAACATTTTATGAAAAAAATAGAAAAAATGTTGTTTGTTTCATATGACTAATTTTTGTGTTTCTTCCTTTTAATCACCGTGGTTGGAAAGTTTTGTTCTATTTTCACAGCAACTGGCTCTTATTATTTTATAAACAGACGGTCAAGATTGATGATTGACGATTTTTTGGGTGTAAAACCCAAAATGCGCAGGTATGAATAACCGGCTTTGAATAAATTTGAAAAAAAATTTCAAATCCAGCAAATCAGCATTCAAGCAGTGAATATCAAGAACATTTGAAAACTTGAAAAAAAAATTTCTTTGAATAAATTAGGAACCATTTTACAAAAAAGTATTGCTAATTAGTTTCAGTTTTTTCAATATTTTAACTAGTAATGACAGTGAGTTATATGACTAAGAAGCTGTGCTATATGCCAATTGCGGTGTTTTAAAAACTAAAGAACTACAGCAACTGTTCATTTACAAAAAAGAGTTCTAAAATTTTTTTTTTGGTGGTGGAAAACGCTACAAAAACTAGTCTTAACAAGACTGCTCGTATATCAGGACAAAGCCCTGAATGTTCTGACTGCCCTTTAATTCTTTGGTCTCGAATATTTTTTTTGGTAAAAGAAAATATTGGAAACCTATTAAATATTGGAAAATATTAACCTAATATTTTTTTTGGTAAAAGAAAATATTGGAAACCTATTAAATATTGGAAAATATTAACCTAATATTTTTTTTGGTAAAAGAAAATATTGGAAACCTATTAACAATATCAAAGATCAAGTAAGCAAATATAAGACAAAATTAGGTTGGAACGATTTTGTTGTGCGAGATAACTCACCGCGCATAATTAATTCGCGTTGCTTTCAGCATCATGAATAAAATGTTGAAACCGCGCATAAATTAGTCCAGAGCATGGCCAAATTGGATCTTTTTATTTAACTTTTCGCTTTAAAACTTTTTTTTGGCCTAAAAAGTCCAGGCTGATTTTTAGTGGTTTATTTTACTTTGTTTCTCTTCAAAGGCAAAAAATGACTGTTTTTCTTGAAAATTTCAATTAGTTTTTGTTGCAAAATTTCAAAATTATAAAGACTAATTGCTCAGAAATTTCCTAATCTTGAACGAAAGTATCAAAACGCCTGTGAATGCAGAAAATCCATGACATTTAGTGGTCGAAACAAACAACTTCCTAATAAGAGCGACAATTTTATAATAAAAGGGAAGAAGATCAGTTTCTGTCTCAGACAACTTATTTTCTATCAAGCTTTCACATGCGGGAGCGAAACATAATAAAGTCAAAAAGGCAATAGAAATCGCAAAACTATGTTTACAACATCGGTTGTTTTCTGGCTCACAGCCCGACTTTTGATGCGATAAATTCAACTAATTTAGCAAAAACTTTAAATTTCCCAACAAATTATGTTTATTGATCCGACTTTCGACGAAAATGACGGAATACTTAAGACTGGATGGTTTTTTCTGTCAACAAATTTCGACAGTCTTTACCCTGAACTACACTTGATCAAAAACAAGCTTCTGTAAGATATTTGACATCTGATTGAAACTGTTAGAAAGTGGTGTGAACACAATTTTGGCCAGAAAATCAAAACTGTTTGATCAATGAAAAACTCCACATAACTTTTTTTACCCCTAACTCTTCTTACAATGTTTCGCTCTGCTTTCGACAACTGGTTTTTAAAACATGAAATTTGCGATTGAAAAAATGTATTGACTTTTACAATGAATGGAATTTAATTTGCAAACAATTTATTATGATTTTTTTAATTAAAAATGTCTAGTGTATCTGCAGACTTTTTTCTTGTCACTAAATTACAGGATTACGCTTGCGATTAGTAACCGTTAATGAATCGTAATGCAGATATTCTATAGACAACTCGGATGCAGAATATCGACAAAATGAAATAAATCAAATCGGAATATATACTTTAATCACTTGATATTTTAATTTTTTAAAAACTCAATTTTCTTGACTTGCTGGCACGCTTTCCCAAGAGACATCAGTTACAACTGAAATGGAAAGATGTTCGAATTCGGTCAGGATTTATCTTTTTCAAATTGAAATATTCCGTTTCGAAAAAAACAGGCTATCATTTGTCTGATTATGTTTGTCTGCTTCCATGTCACAATTTTTTTTGCTGTACATTTTTTTAAGTTATAAATGTTTTTGATTTACTCCTCTAATTTGCAAATTTACCAATTCTCACTTAGTAAATTTTTCTCTTTTTTTGCTGAAAAAGTTTCTTCAGCCCAATTGATTTCGGTGTATATCGAAATAAAAATGCGTTCTCTGAACGGAACTTAAGTTTTACGACCTCCATTTCCAGAAACGTTTAAAGGATGAAAATCTTAAAATTTCGAAAATTTATAGCCCAAAGTTTTTCAGGATTTTTTTGTTTTTGCCTCAATTGGAGTTAACCCTAGTTTTTTCGGCTTAGTTGTTGCGCCGTGAATAATTATGAAAAACTTTTTCACTTTATTTTCCTCATATTGAACATCATTCGAGACAAAATTACAAAACTTTTGCAATTGTTTTAGCGACATTTTTTGACGTAGTGGCTTTTGCTTCATTTTTTGTAGCTGCTAGCTTGGATGTTCTGATTATTTGGTATCGTGAAGCTCCGTTTTGCCATCTGTGTAAGTTTTGCGCCTAGAAACGCATTACTGCAATCAATCTGTTACCTCAATTCAATTTGGATAAAAGCAGTCCAATTCACCAAAAAAGTTTAAACTCAGATTAAATAGATTAGAATCAGTAGCGGATTTAGGGGGGGCGGGGGTTGCGGACGCCCTCATCTCAGGGATTCGACCCCCTACCGACCCGAAGGGTGCCCCCTTTGATTTATTTTGAGATATCCATTTTTGGCTGACGGACCCCTAATTTTTTCTAAAGGCGCCTTTGGCGCCAATAAATACTAATTTTGAGGTGGGAGCGCGCGCCAAAATACGCGATTTTTTGGTCAAAATTTTTTTAAAAAATGCCTAAAAACGCCTTTTTTTGGCCTTTTTTTTCAAAAATTTGCCTGCGGCGCAGAAAATTTGGTCTAATTATGGTCTTTATAGTGGTTTGGGAGAGCTCAGAAAATCAATTTGGCCGACCTAAAAAATTTTTTCGAAAATCCGCAACCCCCCCCTCTCGAAAAAATCCTAGATCCACCCCTGATTAGAATGAGAAATATTTCTTGAATTTGGGTTGGAAGAAGCTTCAAATGGTTGACCGGTCACGAAACTACTCAGGAGAAAAAAAAACACCACAGCCCTCGATTATTTTTCACTCTCTTCGAAAGCCGGTGTTTTTGTTCAAAAAAGTATAAGAACCGTCGCCAAGCTTACTTAATTTTTGTTATGAAAACAATGGTTTACTATGTGAATTGTTGTCCCAAAAAATTGCCATAAAAAATTTAAGCACTTGCTATCTTATGTATAAGTTAATTTCTATTCTAACTTGAAGTATTTTCTGTTTTTCGAGAAAAAAAGTTTTTTTTAGGAAAGCGCGTGAAGCTGCAGGTGTGGGACAGTGCGGGTCAAGAAAGATATGACACTATAATTAAACCCTACTACCGGGAGGCACAGGCATTCGTGCTAGTGTTCGACCTCACAAACAGAGACACATTCGACCAGGCTAGTCTAACTTATTTATCACGAGTAGCACCCCTCCCCCTACCCCTCCCCTTACCCTACTACAGGGAGGCACAGGCATTCGTGCTAGTGTTCGACCTCACAAACAGAGACACATTCGACCAGGCTAGTCTAACTTATTTGTCTTGAGTAGCACCCCCTCCCCTCCCCTTACCCTACTACAGGGAGGCACAGGCATTCGTGCTAGTGTTCGACCTCACAAACAGAGATACATTCGACCAGGCTAGTCTAACTTATTTATCACGAGTAGCACCCCTCCCCCTACCCCTCCCCTTACCCTACTACAGGGAGGCACAGGCATTCGTGCTAGTGTTCGACCTCACAAACAGAGACACATTCGACCAGGCTAGTCTAACTTATTTATCACGAGTAGCACCCCTCCCCCTACCCCTCCCCTTACCCTACTACAGGGAGGCACAGGCATTCGTGCTAGTGTTCGACCTCACAAACAGAGACACATTCGACCAGGCTAGTCTAACTTATTTGTCTTGAGTAGCACCCCCTCCCCTCCCCTTACCCTACTACAGGGAGGCACAGGCATTCGTGCTAGTGTTCGACCTCACAAACAGAGACACATTCGACCAGGCTAGTCTAACTTATTTGTCTTGAGTAGCACCCCCTCCCCTCCCCTTACCCTACTACAGGGAGGCACAGGCATTCGTGCTAGTGTTCGACCTCACAAACAGAGACACATTCGACCAGACTAGTCTAACTTATTTGTCACCTAATATTTTGGCTCTTTTCCTCTTTCTCTCTTATTTGAATTCGAATTTAGAAACACCCTTTTAATGCTGTCATAAGATACTGACTTTTCTTTATACACATCGTAAAATTGAGCCATAATAATACGTTCACATTTTTTATTAACTTGAATGGATCTTTTGGTAAAGTTTTCCATTCTGCTTGTTTTTAGCTCCACAGGTGGATTGAGAATATTGGACTGTACGGGTCTGCGGGGGAGGAGGAGCTGGTACTCGTTTTGGCCGGCAACAAGTGTGACCTCGTCTCACCCGGATCCCCCCACGAGAAGGCAGACAGGGGGGTGGACGAGACAGAGATCAAACACATGTGCGAGGTGGGATCACACTTTTCTCGACCCTTTTTTACTTTTCCCCCACCTCACAAAAGCATCAATTTATGGTGTAAAGAGTATAAAGAGTATAAAGAGTAAAGAGTTTTACATGGTTAAGTATGAGGACCAAAAATGTCTTTCATGACTTAATTGTTTAGCATGCTTTTTCTGTATTAGTCAGATAATGTGAACAGTTTTTTTTTAATTCGCAGATGGAAAAAAGGGAAAAGAAGACTTTTTTTGAAAGTCTTCAGTATTTAGGTCAACAGGGTTATGAAATTATGAAAAGTCGTCTTTGTGATGTTCAAAAAATGTTTGCGAAAATTTGTCGACAACTTTAAATCGACCAAACTGATTTTTCGAGATTTCCCATAAAGAATTTTGAGAGAAAATTTTAGAAATTATAGGAAAGATTTTGGAAAAACCTGCTGAACAAAATTTGTATACAATCCCCTCAAAATTTGTATACGTTGGCGAAAAAACAGTTTTATGAAAATTTTAGGGTATCGTAGCCAAAATGGAGACCCCTTATGTGGTCAGGGGATCGAATTCCGAAGGGAGGGAAGCGCCTACCTCCCCCGTCTCACATATAAAAATAAAAAGATATGTTTTCAAATAATGCGCAGAGCAGAGGATTAATGAAAAGGTATCCAGCCTGTCTTAGCAGAGTCCCTTTCTCTTATTTCCCCACATTCCAGACTGAGTTATTTTGATGAGCGTAGCTTTTTTTGCGACTCAAGGCCGTTTTCTTGCGTCCAGAAATTTCAGATAGGCGTTACTGCTTTTACACTTAAGTTAAGATTTCATGCAGTAGATATTCAGGGGCCAGGGGCTACTCTGGAGTTTTGGGTTGAACTGGTAGTGCTGGGAAAAACCAAAATGACCGGTTTTGACAAGGCCAACAAATTTTTTCAGCAAACTTCCCCGTACCTACTGCGAGTTACTTAATAAGACGTAACGTTCAATTAAAGTTCAAATCAATATTATTTTTTGATTTTTTTTCTTCATTTTCTGGCCGTTTTTAGGTGCACAACATGACCTATTGGGAAACATCAGCCAAAACCAGACAAAACATAGACCAGATGTTTGTTCACGCAGCCGAACAAGTGCTGAAGAAGAAAGGTCTGGATTTGACGCTGGATAAATCGGAAACAGTTAAACTCCAAACGGGGTCAGCCCACCAAAGAGCCCATCGGGAGGGGGAGAAAGAGAGAAAAAAGTGTTGTAAATTTTTATAGAGAGTATGATAGTAAACTATTTGGGAATCTGATTTAATAACAATAGTGTTCTATTTTCATTAGCGCAGTTCAGGTTTCAATTTTAATTTAGTTTTCAATTTCATTTCAATTTAAATTAAGAGTTAAGAAGTTAAGAGTAAAATTAAGAGTTAAGAAGTTAAGAGTTAAATTTTTAGCTATTCTAGCTAGAAACTGAGATGGAGAAGTATGCGCATAATCTCTTAAAGTAGTTTCTGAAAAAGTAGCCCGGGTTGACTATACAAAAAGTTGCTAATCATACAAAATCACCAATGGAGGCTAAGGAAAGAACGCCAATCATACAATTTATGTTTACGAAACTTGTAAAAAAACATTTTTTCATTTAAGTTAAAAATTTCAGAAATCGACTACAAGTCTTTTTGTAGTTTTGAATAAGTTAATTGCCATTTTCGTCACAAAGAGCATTTTGTTCTTTGGAAGATTAGATGCATCAAAAAATTTCATTGGAAAAAGTGTGCATAGGAAAATGCATATCATACAGTTTTCATTTATCAGAACTAAACGATTAGCGGTCTTTCACCATAAAAAACTGCAAAAGTTGAAGAAAAAAGTATAATTTCGTTTTAGTCGCTATACCAGTACTATGCTCAAGCAAACAGAATTCCAAAAAAAAATCCCATAAAATGATAGAACAGACACAGTTTTTATAAATTGAAGAATCAAAATATACAGGAACTACGTATAAGGGTGGTTTTTCAATACTTTTTTCAGCCAATTTTGAATATTTAAAGGAAAACTCAAAAAGGTGCACCTGGTATATCATACTACAGTATCGTATTATCGAATCATATATCATAATGTTGTGATTCCGATTTTAACAACCAGTAAAGCAAAAAATCGAGATTCCCTTTGTCGAGAAAAACTGGTCTGCGTTTTTTCGATTTTCAGAAGAAAGTAGACACAATTTTCTTAAATACTTGCTTCATCAATTAATTTTTGCTTCAGAATGGTCACTATTTTATCTATTTTTCACTCTTTTTTGCACAGACTTCCGGTTTTTCAATCACTTTTAAGAGAAAAAAACTATTTAATACTTTTTTCGAAAAAAGTGGCAAATTGTTTTTGAAATTTTAAAAATAATTTTACTTTTAAAGTTATTTTTAAAATTCTCTTGGGTTGAAAAATGTTGGCCTTTTTCAAAGCCTAAGACTATTCATGTGATTTTTCATTTTAAGATGATAACATATACCAAGATCTGACCAAAAATCGGCCGCAATTTTCACACATTGAATTTTTCGAAACAAATTATCAAAATCCATACACAAAAAAATGTCTGATCAAATTAATCTATAAAAAATTAACAAATTAATTCCAAAACACCTGTAATCTATAAAAAATTAACAAATTAATTCCAAAACACATTTAACATTTCATCAATTTTTTTATAATCCATTTACAAAATGCTGATCATTTTGGACACAAGTCTGTTTTCAGGCGTCTAGAATTTTACACTTTCTTATAACCAGTTTGATTTTTAAACCTTCCATTTTTAGACGCAAAGTCAATTTTTCACTACAATTTTTATGATGGCTTACACAAACCTGATTTTCTTTGTTCTACTTCTAGATGTCCTTGGAATTTTTGAAGTATTTTCAATATAAATGGTAATTTAAAAATATATATATATACATTTAGACATGTATGAATATCTGTTTATAAGTATAACTAAGCTTCTAGTTCAACATAATATTACGAGCCGCGCAAAAAATGATGCATAGGTTGGAGTCTATTTGCAAGTATCCTAAATTAGTTCATCCTTACCTAGAATCTAATTATCTACAAACATGTAAATGAACCTATTCAATTCAACATGACTAGCATTTTGTAAACAAAAACTTGAGCCATTGACGGACATAATTGAAAAGCTTTTTTTTCTAACCCAATAAGAATTTTTTAAATGCTGATTGCCCTCATTGACAAGTTTTTGCTTTCTCCGTGCTTGGATCCTAATAATTCTAGCATAATCGATTTAGTTATTCATGAATTCTGAAGCAAATAATGTTCTCAACACTTTACCTTATAGTTTCAGTAGCTCATAAACTCGAAGTTTTTTTCATAGTATGAAGTTTTTTAAAACTTCTAATATGTTTAATTGACTGATTGCGTTTCTTGAAATAGCAAAACTTTATAAACGATTTATATTCTGTTCTAATGGTTTTATTTTGCTTTTATCCGTTGCAGCGAAAACAAGTACTCAGTTTTGCACAAATGGTTCAACACAAGTTTTGTACATTTTTTTTGATTGATTTGTTTTTGAACGTTTCCTAAGTTGATAACATATTCCAAAACATCTGTTTAAACACTTTTTTGACACTCTTAAACATTTTTATTGTTTCCTAATTGTTCGACATTCTAAATTTCTATCTGAAACGTTTTAATTTTTCGCTACTTTTTTTAAATTCTACTTTTGATTTTTCACTGATTTCATTTCTTTAGAGACAATGTTTCTTGTCTGTGAGCAAAAACAATTGATTATCATCTAATTAAAAAATGACACCACTCAGAGATTTTTGATGCCGTTTTTGTATTGTTTTTTTTTCTCTAGCATAGTCTGTACTGCAGTATCATCAGGGTATAACAATAATTTGTTGTTCATTGTTACAATCAATATCATTTTTGAAGAGAATTAATAAAAGAGGACCTAATATAGATCCATGAGGTACACCAACATTGACTAACTGATTGGTAGATTGATTTCAATTTAAAAAAGCATATTGAGTTCTATTTGAAGAATAAGATTTAGTAATTTCAAACACTGGTCCTCTCAGCCCATTAGACTAACATTTTCTCCAAAAAAAGAAATGTTGGTTTACAAAATCAAACGCTTTGCGCCAGGCGAAGAATGTGCATTGGATTCCAGCTGATTGAAAATCCTACTTTTAATAACTTTCTTTAACTAGCAAAACTCTTGCATCATTTTTTCCATGTTTGTTCAGGAACCTAAAATTGAAAAATTGCGAAAAATTTTGGAGACAAAGCAAACTCACATTTCAACTTCTCGTTTATGAAGCAACAATGAAATAAAGAGATCCAATTTTTCTCCAGAAATAATTTATCAGTAGTAAAATATTGTGACTTGCAAAGTCTTTTTGAGCAACACGCTTTTCTCAGCAAATCAATATTCATTAAATTTTCTATTTTCAAAAATCAATATCCGTTCCTGCTCTGATCTGTAGTGAATTGCAACATTATTCGAAGAGTATAGAAGCATATTTAGAAACGCTAATGATGATATATCAATTAATGGAATCAAAGTTTTGGACTCAATTTATGGTCGTTAATGAATAATTAGAGTTGATTTCTGTTGCGAGTTGTCGTGTTACGCTTATTAACACATATTTTTGGTCAAGTTCTGTCAAAACTATTTGAAACATCCTATTTTTGCAGCGGGATTGGCCTTGCAATCAGCAAAGTTATTGCATCCGTTAAACTTTTTTAATTGCTTTTTCTGTTGAAATTTAAATTAGAAATAACACAAAGCGTACTTGCTGGCTTAATTAATGAAACTTAATTTTGGAAACAAATTCAATTAAAAAAAAACACTTTCTTCCGATAGCTTGTAATGTTTTTCAAAGCTTCTATTTTGTCGAACAACATGGCTTCTTAGGGTTTTGAAAGATAATATCTGATTTTCTGGCATCCAAAATAGTTCTGAAGTTTTTTTACGAGGAACGGGTGAACCTTATAGCAAAAAAGAGAAAAAATTAGAAGGAGAATTTGCAAGTTTAAACGATGTCAAATAAAACTGTTACTTATAAGTAATAGCCATGAAGGTGGATATTACTATGGTTAAGGTTTGAATTTCCAAAATGGTCGATTGTTGTTCATTTTGTTTTTGGCCCCGAAAGCTTGTCGGTTGTTCTTTTACAAAGACCTCAAGTGATCAAAATTTGTATACTATGTTTTCTATACTTTGTTCTTTATACTAAGATCTTAAAAAAATGCGCCGAATTAAGCTACAAAATGGCAATCAAAAAGGCACTTTTTTCTAAAATCTTAATTAGAAATGAATAACTTGGTTATTAAGAAAATTACAGCAGTGCGAGCACAGCAGTTAAAAATGGTTATTAATTTGAAATTCTTCTGTATTTCAGCGAAGTCAGAACATCGTAAATCAGAACTCAGTAACTTTACTAAGGTATATCACAAAATCGTTATCAGTTTTTGAATTACTTTGTTTTGACAAAAAAACTCAATTGTTTTCTATACAAGTTATAGTCGCAGATTACAATACATTTTGAATGAGTTGCATCTTTCGAATTTGTTTTGTAACGAAATGGCTGTTTTTGACCTCGGATTTTGGGTAAATGAATCCGTTTGTGCGGCCGGAACACATTAACCCGGAATAGTGTCCGCCAGAGGATTTGGAAATCCAGCTGTCTTTTTTCCATCAATCTCCTTACCATCATGCTCGATCTGGACCTTTTCTTGATTCGCAGCAAAATTAACAACTTCTTTCACCTCGGGGTTGTCATGTTTATGCAAACCCTGGATCAAGGCTCCGTAATAGACAGCCAGAGCTACCAACCCTCCTGCGATCGGTCCGGCCCAGTAGATCCAGTGGTAGGCTGCGAACTCTTGCATCACGAAAGCGGGTCCGAAAGATCGAGCTGGGTTCAAGCTGCATCCCGTGTAAGGCGCCATGAAGAGAACACAAGCCAGAACCATAAATCCAGCAGCAGTCGACGGAAAGCCCTGGAAAAAAATTGTTCATGAATATAAAAATATTTGCATGTTTTCATTCGTAATAATTATGAGTGATTTCTGTGTTTTCCTATTTTGGGACACCGTTGTTTTTTGTCCAAATCATAATTATTTTGTCATTTAAAATGTCAAGTATTACTTTGACTTGTCTCAAATAATTCGAAAGCTGCCATTAATACTATATACTATTTTTCATCTATTTTTTATATAAGTAGAAATACAATAGTTACTTACTTCGAAGTCTTTTCTCGGATCGGGGTCCGAGATAACGAGGACCAACAGGACTAGAATCATGGTTCCAATGATCTCCACCACCAGACCCTGGATCTGGTTCAACTCTGGCCTCAGTCTGTTCATGCCCAGATGACTGTGGTCTATCCACTCTTGAGGAGCGACCCAGTAGACCAGATAGGCTCCGGCAACAGCACCTGAAGAAAGTTCATGAACTATCAATTTAAAGTATTAACCCTAGCCGATCAAAGAAGGTTATCTTGCAAGATCTTGCAAGATCCTTGCAAACGAGGGTTATCTTGCAAGATCTTGCAAGATACTTGCAAGATACTCGCAAGATCTTGCAAGATAACCTCTCTTGATCGACGAAGGAAATTAATGAACTAATGAAAGTTATTTGAAAATTGATATCAAAGCTTACCACCGAATTAATTGATAAGGTTTGTAAATGATACTATGTTTTTTAGGCAAATACATTAGATTAGCTACAGCTCTGATTATTTGTGAATTTAGCCATGAGATCTAATATCACGCATTTTAATCCTCAGAACCACTATTTGGTTGAATTTTTCTAAGTTGAAGGCCGTTTGGAAGCTTGTTAAGCGATTAAAAGCTATATAAATTAAAGTTCAATATCAGAACATAAAATTTTTGAAATCAAATTACCTATTTCACTCAATTTAGCCATAACTGATTGAAAAAGTCAAACTTGTATTTGGAGAAAATAGATAAAAGTACAAATATTAATGAAAAAAAATCGAAAAATGAGTTCGATTTACTGATTGAACTCACCTGTAAGTTGAGCTATGATGTAGCATAAAGCCTTCAAAATGTGACATCTTTTTGCAATCGTGAGCGAGATGGTCACAGCTGGGTTGATGTGACACCCCGAAGTTGGTCCAATAATGTGAATCAGAGTCATGATTATAGCTGCAAACGTCAATCCAGGTGTGATCAAATTGTCGATATCAGATCCGACCCCGTCGTCGTATTCGCTGCCGACCACGTTCGACAATCCGACGAAGATCATGACGAAGGTCCCGAAGAACTCGGCGAAAACAGCTCGCCAGAGAGCAGGATCGGCAACCTCGTGGGCTGCGTGTAGAATACCTTCTATTGCGTGTTTTCTGTGGAAGCCCATAGTTGATCGGGAAGGTCAAACTTGTTTGTTGGGAAAAGAAGATAGAATACAATTGAAAAGAAAAATATTAGAAAGTTTCTTGTATTGGTAAATGCTGTTTTGAAATTCTGGAAGTTCCTTCAAAATATTTCGGAATTGGAAGTGATTGAAATCTATATAAATATATATAATTTGTAGCAAAAAGTTCGGACAGAAAAAAAATTCATTAAACAAAGCAATTGACCTATTTCAGTCAATTTTTGCATGCAAAATTTAATTTTTCAGACAGGAAGTATGTCTCAAGGTCACTTAAAATTCTAAAAATCAATTAACCAATAATGCGATAAATATTTCTTGACCGAATTGAATTATATCTTTTTGTTTTCGGGGGCTCAAATCTATAAACTACCTTGTGATTTTTTTCGTGAAGTTAATGAGGGGGGGGGGGGATTGGCTGATAACGATAATTGCTTATAACGATAATTGCTAAATTGCTAATTGCTATTCTGATAACAATCGTGAGCGACGGTTCAAATCCAAAATGAATTGAGGCAAGCCATTTGGTCTTATTATTAGAATACGAGACGCTAAATACTTCATTAATCTCCACTTTACATAGCATTGGGTGTAAGGGGGTGAAATGCAAACAAAAACTAAGCGAAACTTTAATTATTATTATATATTACTTTCGATTACTTTCTATCAGTTTTTCAATCAAAACTTTTTAAATTAGGCAGTCGGAACATTCATTGTTCGTTTTGATAAAAGGAGCAGTTTTGTTATAGATTACTTAATTTGTCTATTGCAATTCCTGAATGATGCTTCTCATAGATCTCGAATTTCTAAGGTGACCTAATTTTTGTGCTCTTGGTGGTTGCAAAAAAGTCAAAAAATAAAAGATGATTCCACCGTGCTAATTTTTTGCAAAACTATCAACTGTTTGAATTGGAACTACATTTATTACTATAATTCAAATTGGAGTAAAAAACGCGTAAATTCAGAGGCGGATTTAGGGGGAAACGCGCGCCGAAGAAACGCGGTTATTCGTTTAAAGTTTTCCAAAAAGCTCCTTTAAACGCCTATTTAGCATGTTCTGTTTTTTTCTAAAATTTGCCTGCGGTGCAGAAAATTTGATCTTTTTAGTGCTTTGGGAGAAAATATTTCTGAAAGTCCACGCCCCGCCGCTCGAAAATCCTAGAACCGCTCCTGCGTAAATTATTTTGTTCAATTAAATCGTTAGATACAAATTATTTGATTCCAAAGTTGATTACGGCAAGTAATTTGCTCGTATTTTTACGCTACCAGACTTGAAATATATCACATTGCACTTAAAATTGTGTGAGGGGGATAAACTCAAAGAAAAATAAAGAAAAGTCAAAATTCCGTCCATTTTTACCCTTCATTTCAATATTTTCTTAAAAACTTCAGGTCCATTGACGTTAGAGGGCAGTCGAAACACTCAGTTATGCAGTCAAGGGCAGATCTAGGGTTTTCTTGAGGGGGGATTTTCAAAAAATTTTAAAAAATTTTGTTGACCCCTTTTCAGGTCGACCAAATTGATTTTCCGAACGCTCGCGGAATGTTATAAAGACCCCTATTTTTGACACCAAATTTTTGCGCCGCCGGGAAAATATAAAAAAACATGTGAAAAATGCCGTTTTTTGCACCTTTTGGAAAATTTCGATAAAAAAATAGCGTTTTTTCGGCGCGCGCTCCGCTCCCATTGAAACTTAGTATATTGGCTCCAAAGAAGCCTTTAGAAAAAATAAATTAATGTTTGATGGGCTTAAAAGAGGGTCATAAATTAATACCGAATGCGAATGGGGGACTCTTTGGTTATTAAAGAAGTCCGAATCCATTCCCCCGACCCCCCCCCCCCCCCCCCAAGTCTGCCACTGTTTACACTTAATTCCTAATTGCTGGCAATATTAGTGACCTTGAGCAAATTAGTGGGTCAAAAAAACGGTGCTCGGAAAAAGAGATACAACTTACGTAGCTGTTTTAATGACCAAAATAATAAACAATGAGTCAATTAACAGCTGAAGTCATTTACTCCAAGGGGTACTGGACCAAATTTTAGCAGCTTAGCTGATGACGGAAAACCGTTGTTTTGTCCTTGTTTAAACATTTCTTGTCCTTTTTTATACCATCCTCGGCGACGAGCACGGACAACTTTATTGAGCTTCGAACCACCGACTTTTCTACAGAAAGGCGGAGAATACACCATATCAATTTCTCCCATTATGAGTTTAGGTCCGGGGTGGCTTTATCATAGAGTAATTTCGGATAGGGTATACCGTCTGTTTGTCACGCTATCTTATTTTCGGCCTGATAGATTCATGCAACTTCTTAGTCTAATACCGATCCTAATCTTACATTTATTTTTCCTAGTCTCAATAGATATAGTATATACTGGTATTGTTGCGAGGTTAGAATAAAAAAGAGCAACTGTTTGCAAAGTTAATTTTTTTTCTCTGGCTGAAATTATAAATAGTTTCAGCTTTATATTTTATTGTAAGGTTCAGTCATGGATCATGATTGGTTAGTTCTATGTAGTGTACAGTGATATTTAACAAGAGTATAATTGGGATATAGTAGATACTTGTTTTGAAATGTTTCCAATTAGCACGTATTGTCTTAAATCCCTTTTTTGCTCTGATTCATGTTTCAAAAAGCAACAAGTAATTGTACATTTCAAGTAATTGTACTACTATAATGTTAGTTTTTGTAAGGACGTTATTCAGCCAAATAAAATACTATTGAAAAATTCAAAATTTACACTTCTTCTTTTGCCAAAATATGGATTTTAAAATAACATATAAATAATGTGCAAAGTATAGCAAAAAGCGAACCAGCTATTTAAATTGAACCTACATTCTATTCTAATACATCACCCTGGTAAGAACCAGGCAAATTTAGTTATATATTTACACTTTTAGCTTGCCTGGTGAAAAAATATTTTCTCGATGCTGGGAAACACATTGCTTCAAAATTTGAACCCAGCT